AGTTCAATAAATATCCAAGATGGCTGGACCAACTCAAAGAGATCATTAGGACGCCTAAGTTAGCACCTCGAGTGTTCAGAAACATTGACGAGACGCCGTGTAGAATAGAAGCCTTGCAGAACCAATTGAAAAACCGTTGGGACGCTTCCTTTTCATGCCTGTCTATGACTTTGGTGGAGGGAAGAAGGCCCCCCGAACCCAAAACCTTGCTTAAACCCTAACCGTAAACCCTAAACCCAATCCTGCGTACTGCCTTGAGCCCAAAACCCCCAAACCCAAAAACAACTCTCAAAAAAGCCCTAAACCTTTGAACCTCAGGACCAATTTTCGGGCCCCAAAATGAAGTTCCCCCTTTTCGGGCTCCACGGCCTCCATGCGGCTCTAAGCCGCTCAGGGCGGAGACCCGGCGCTCCACACAACGAAGCACCGACCAAGGCCCTGGTTCGGCTCGGGGCTCGTACTTGGAGGTTCAGGGGTAGTTAAAAGTAGGGCTATAACTAGGGTAATTATGCTTATAACCCATGTTAGGGGACTTATAACCCTACTTATAACTAGCCCTGAACGTCCAAGTAGGCTTTATGGGACCTTTCAAAGGTTGTTTTGTTGAGCTCCTTTTTGGCCATTTGCACCTGCCTGATCATCCGTTTAGGGATTAGGGTTTAGGGCCTGTAGGGCTTGTAGGGCTTGTAGGGTTTAGGGTTTAGGGTTCAGGGCTTGTCAGGATAGTGTTCAATCTAGCCAGAAAGGTGGCTCTGCAGGGCCTCACAAAGCTTTTGAGGGTTCAAAGTACCTTGTGATGAGGTGTGAGGGTTCAGGATCGTGCGATGCGAGGTTAGGGTGGCGGTTCGGGTTTGGGGGTGTAGAGGTTGCGGCTGAAGGCTTGCAGCTTGTAACATTGTAGGGATCTGGGCTTGATGTTAGCCTTCAGGATTAAGGCTTCTCCGACATCCTACGAGGGCTTTAAGCGTTAGGGAATGTGTTGTTATCTCATGGACCGGCGGTTATGGGCAATCTATCAATCAAGCCCTATACCGACACATGTCTTCCCCACGAGCTGAACCGAAACCGAAACCAAACTGCCCCTAAGCCCCAAATCGAAAGGGCTTAGCAAAGCTCCAAGACATGAGCAACCCTAAGCCGAGCAGACCTACAAACCTGTACAGCCGAAACAAGTGAAAACTATGCCAGCACACCGAAAACCGATGTAAAGCACCGTACGACTCTTGAGAACAACGCTGTCCTGAGTCCTGACTGGTTTCAACAAGGCCTCATTACGGACAATTGTGAAGGAAGCATGGGAGCCCGGTGGCCTGACTCTTTGCCGGTGGGATCTAAGTCCTCAGCTCGGCAAAGTTTTGAAGGTTGAGGTACATGGAGGATCATGGGATTGGGTAAGTCTGATTAGGAGTACCTGAACTGGGTCATAAGCAGTGATAAGTACCATTACCGTAATAATCACCTTAGTGACTGAGTCCCATGCTCCTTGAAGTAAGGTCTGGACTCGCTGACATATTTATGTCATCACGAGTTATTAAAGTCTTACTCTGTGTACAATTAGACCGAACACCCTCAAACCTCAATCTTTGGGGTCCTACCACACTTGTATTGGTGATAAACCTTTTTGAACCTAGGCATGATAAAGAAACAATTTATGGCCCAAACCCCTAAGCCCCCTAAACCCTACACCCCAAAACTCCTAAACCCTAAACGGCCCTAAACCCCTAAACCCCTAAACCCCTGCACCCCACACCCTAAACCCCCAAACTCAAAGCTTCTTGCAGGGGCGCTTCGCCGGTCGCAACCTCTACGCCCAGGGGACTTCCGTATACTAAGAAATGTGTGAACATATAAGGAACTCATACGGTGATACATATACATACATATGTTTATACTCACCGGGTCCAAGTACCCAAATAGTAAGCCGTAGGTCCCAAAATCCATACTCTGAATGGTTTTGGGACCTTGAAACCCTACTATTTGGGTACTTGGACCCTGTGGGATAATGACAGTACCCACAATACTAATGATAATTATAGCGATAACGGCAACGATATTAAGAGTGAGAGTAAGATTTGCGAAAGTAACATTAATAGCAGACAACAACGGTGATAAGCTAATAGCAAGACTTACTAATGTTAGTGATTGAAAGAATGAGGAGCATAGTAAGATATATAGTGTAGTACAACAAAACAAAGTAAAGTATCACAAAATTATACAGTCTAACATAACATGTGATGTAATGTAATTAATCTACTATAGTGCAATGAAATCTACAGAACCATGTGGCTGGTTGTCAAAATTATGACCCCTTTTTAGGTACCTATGATGGTACCGCACCTAATATATAAATATATATATATATGGTACCCAAAAAGGGACCCTAATGTTGACAACTACCCATACCCTAAACCCTAGACTCTAAACACTAGACCCTAAACCCTAAACCCTAGACCCTAAATCCCCCCTTCAAGGTGCCTCTAAAGGTGCAAGACCATCATATCGTTTTTTGCTCCAATAATTTCATAATATCTGCAGAATCTGATTCAAATATCAACCTTCAGCAGGTCTAGCAGGCCTCAGGTTTCGGCCTCAAGTTTCGGGCTTACGGAATTCGGGTGCGCCATATTGAGGAGGAGGTTTGATTCAGGTTTAGGGGGCTTGTGGGGTTTAGGATTTAGGCTTTAGGGTCTGGGCTTAGGCCGTTTAGAGTTTTTGATTCGGATCTATCATTCAGGCTCGACGTCGTGTTCTCTTAGCTTTAAATGCTAACCCCCTAAACCCCTGAACCCTCGACCCTGTCGTATGTCGTGTAACATATTTCATGTCGGGGCTGCAGGCTTGTAGGAGGTTGCTTAACTGTAGACAGGTGGGCTTAAGGACTATTTCTGGTAAGGAAAATCACGGCACCCAAACCCCTTGATTTGGGAATATACCCATGGCTAACTATGTACTTCTTATACACTACTGTATACCGAATACTGTGCACCATTGTTATACATACGCCCATCCATGTCTAATTACCACATGTTAATACCAGGCCCTAAACCCCTAACCCCTGAACCCCGAAACCGACCCTGCAGATCATTGGGCTCTTTCAGTCGCCCTTGAAGTGCACGAGCGAGGGGCAACTCGAACTTTCGCTGGTGACGAGGCATCGAGGTTCTCCTTCTACCAGCGGCTTCAACGTTTTTTATAGAACTGGACCTGTTTATGAGGGCTACAGACTGGTTCTGCAGGAGTTTGGACGTTCCAAAATTAGCAACTGTGGCACAATATGGCTGTGTTTTGTTTGCCCGCTCCTTGCGCTGAAAATCTCGTCCTAATCTACACACACACATACATACATATACATATATATATATATGTATATATATATATATGTACACATACATGTATGTATAATCTATATATGTATATAGCATGGAGATACAGAGATCTATACGGATAGATGGATGAATCCCAAAAAAAGGCATTTTGGGGGGGCTCCTGGGTTTGTGGAACTCCCAATGTCTGACGACTGCCTCAATCTTCCGACGTTCCTCAAGGCACATAAGCAGGGAGTTTCCGAAAATTAGGGGTACCTTATTTTGGGGTCCTTATAATGAGGATCCTCTTATTTAGGGTACTCTATTAGGGTCCCCTATTTTCGGAAACTCCCAGCATGCTACTGCCAGCACATCGCATATGCTTGATTCACGCACCGTCGCAGCCGTAATGCTCTTCGCTACATATGATGGTGGGTTGTCATGGCTATAGCGAGCACTACTAGTGCTATTCTTGCCGACAGATGCCACCAATGCTGCTGGCCCAACGTCTTGACAGTAGCATGTGTCGCAACATCAATCGCTCCATGTGTTACCCGTTCCCAGAGACTCCAATATCCCTTAATTAAGGAATAGACCTTAAATTATGGTAGGATCCCTGATATGATTTAAGGAATATTCCTTAATTAAGGGATATTGGAGTCTCTGGGTATCAATCGCTGGAGATTAGAAGTTTCACGAGCGGCCTTGTAAAGACCCTAAACCCCTAACTGCTGAACGTCGAAAGGCTGTAGAACCCAATGCCGGTTCAGGGTTTAGGGTTTAGGGTTTAGGGCCAATGCCGGTTCATGGGTCCAGGAGGGGGTTTGGGATTTGACGACGCTCGAAGCTTAAACTCTTGAACCCTTCACTGCTCCCTAGACTAAGATTTCTAGACCTTGAACCTCTAAAACCTAAACCACGAACATCCTTGAACCCTAAACAAGCGTTCTGTAAATAGGGTGCTACAAGGGATTACAGGTTTTTACAGGAGTTGTAAGGGATTTCAAGGGTCCAGAGGACCTGATAATCAGCTACTTGGGTGTAGGATCGTAGCCGATAAATCACCGTGAAGCCCTAGAGTCTAAACCCTAAACCCTGCTTGATTGAATGAAGAATATCATAGGGATCCTTAGGGGTGTAGGGGGGAGGGGTGTAGGGGACTATATTTCCTTAAATAGGCCTTATTAGTCCTTATTATGGGCCTTAAGGCCCCCTACCCCCCCTCCCCCTACACCCCTAAGGATCCCTATGAGAATAAGCCTAGTGCCTGAACCCTGAAGCCCTCCACTTCCAGCCCACGTCCTCCACCAGGCTCCGGATGGCCTTGCACTCCTCTGCTTTCATGGCGACCCAATTATTAGTATAGGGACCTTGATAATGAAAACAGGGTTCCCTTCAAAGTTTCAACTTTGAAACTTTGAAGGAGTCCTTAACGGGCTATATAAGGGACCTACAGTAGGTAGAGGTAACCATTAATAATTAGAATAGGGTTCAGGGCATTTCCTCTCATAATTTGCACTCTGTCATGGTTGTCACTGCTGCTGTTGGATGAGTTTTGCAAGAATGCACTGGCAACGGCTAACTTGTTTTGCTCGCATGCTTGAGCCATGCGCGTCGATCAAGGGCTGATGGCAAGCGGGTTCCTTCTGCACAACATGCAGACTGTTCTGCATGTGACCCGTTCATTTCACACTCCTACTTTTCTTTTGGCATCAGCCCCTTCGGAGCTATCTTCTCGAAACTGAGTTCCAAGTTGCCACATTTCATGGCTAGCTCCAGCTGACTGCTCTTCATCTTCTTGGTCAATCCGTCGGAAAGCATCGTGGAGGTGTCGATCCACAAAACCTTGGTGGTAGCTTCCGGCGGGGGCTCGTCGGTGAGCAATGGATCGCCCACCAGTTCGCCTTTCCTTCTCCAGACCACTTGCCTCATAGCGCTGATGTCGATGGCCAGCCGTTTGTCTGTGACCGTGTGGAGGCCTGCCTGGAGGAGGTGCTGTTCCAGCGACTTGCAGTCTGTGAGCATGAAGATGTCGAGGTAGTCCATGGAGGCAATCAGGTTCTTGTCAACATGAACTCCTTTTAGATGAGCCCACAGGGTCCGCACATGCTCACTCTCTTCGTAGCCGGTAATCAAGCTGAGGGCTTCTGCTTGGAGTGTGCTCCTGCACACCCTCTTCAGCACATTGCTGTGGTACTCGATCACGTGGATGGTGCCTTTTCCCGTCGTCGCCAGGCTCTTCGGTCCCAGAGCCAGGATTCTCCCGGATTGGGAACGATTGCCCATTGGCACTCCACTCGCGGAGAGCTCGAAGTCTGCGGCGTGGGATGCGTCGGTGATGCTGTAGATCGCCATGTCCTCCTCGTTGAATGCCTGGTACTTGTAGAAAAGGCCCAGGTCTGGTGTCTTCTTCACGTAGGAGAGGAGGTTGTTGCAGGCAACAAGGTCACCTACAGTGGCCTGCTTCATCACCGCCTGGAAATAGTTCACCTCATATGCTATGTCCATGCGACATACCCGAACCATCCAGTTCAGGCTTCCGACCACGCTCCTCAGTTGATCACGTTCGTGCTCGGTGACTGCAGAATCTCGTTGCTTCCGGCGCTGGTAGTCGAGGTAGATCGGTCTCACCTTCGCCGCATGGTGAGGACACGTAACTCTGATGCCCTCTTTCTCTTGAGAGATGACTCTCCCACAGTAGCCGAAGCTGTCTCCGACCTCCAGCGTGCCGAATTTGAACTCTTCGGTGATCGCCTTCATAACTGCGTCCATCTTCTCGGTGCCAGACCACAGCAGGTCGTCGACATGGGATACCATCATTCCTTGGATCCCATCATCGTCACGTAGAACATATGCTGCATGCTCATTGGGCACCGGAAGAAGGCCTTGTCGTACCGCCACGTTGTTGAGCCTCTTGAAGAATCCTCTCGGTGCGTCTCGAGTTCCGTAAACGGGTTTGATCGCTCTCAGCAGCGATCCTTCGGGTACTCCAGGAAGTCCTCCAGGCGGCGGTCGTAGTAGAAGAGTTCTTGTAAGGTTTTCTCCTTGCAGAAATGACGCCGTGATGTCGCCACCCTTGAGGCGGTGCTTCTTGTTGGCAGTGAACGACAGTAGCATTCCCAACATGGTCGATGAGCAGGTGGGTGAGTCCGTCCGGGTTGCAGCTCCTTGCTCCAAATCGCCGCGTACCACGATCCTTGACTTGTATCGTGGTTTCTCCCATGGCTGAGCCTTGTTGATGTCCACCCATCGCGTTGGAGTGATCTCGGCTCCGGGGTTGGCGTCCAGCGTTTCCTGCACATTCTCCGGAAGGATCACATCCACAGCGTCGAAGCCTTGCCAATTTCCCCACTCGCCTTGTCTCGCAGCCAAAATTCCTTCTCGTTCTTCTCCGATGGCCTTGGTGAAGTTGAGCTCCTTCATGCGGGCGGCCGCACTCTTTTTGTTGACTCGCCTTGCTAAGAAGCCATGCAATCCATGTCGTGGACTGCCTCCTTCAGCAACACCAATCATCGCCTGCGAAGCCCTGGGAGGTGAGCGCGATCTGTTCCTGGAGTTCGGGATCCCGTCAAGAGCGTCAGGCGACCTGCGAAGCGCTTGATGTAGAGAAGGTGTCACGGAATCCACCGCCACACTGGTCCTACGACTTGAAGGCACTTGTTCTTGCTCCGGTTCTAAAACAGACTCCAGCAACGAACATGGGCTGGATTCCACACTGCTGTCCGGCACATCTGGCATGACCGTCTGTGAACCAAGTGGCTGCGGCCCATCTGGTACGCCAAGAGAGAGTCCTGGTGGTGGTACTTGAAGTCCTGGTGTCTCTTGCCCATTATTGTGGCCGCTGTCGGCCGGATCACCTTCTGGTAGGGACTGTGGCTGCAGTGGAGAGAGTCCTGGTGGTGGTGGATGAAGTCCTGGTGTCTCTTGACCATTTTCGTGGGCACTTTCGGCTGGGATCCAGGGCGAGTAGTCGCTCATGTGATCATGAAGATCAAAGAAGCCAGGCTGCGTGTGATCATTGGAACCTCCGAGGCCAATAAGGTCATCTGTGAATGGCTCCTCTTCCTCCATGGTATCCTTCGCCTCAAAGTCGCTCATGTCCTCTCGCCGCCGTTTGCGTGAAGGCCTCAACTCGAGAATCCTTTTCGCCATCATCTCGCCTCCTGTAGCATGGCGGCACTGCTCAGAGGACACCGTCATGGGTATCCCTCCATGGCAGATCCAGAGCGTGCCCTTTCCCTCCTGGCCGATCACCCGTGCGGGTCCAAACCATTTCCAGCCTGCTTTTCCGCCTTGTCGACGATGAAAGCAAACCAAATCTCCCATGGTGAACGGTCCTCGGCCAGGAACACTCTTCCTCAGCATCGCAGCTCTGATCCTCTGGGAGCTATCCACCTGCGCGAAGGCTTCTTTGGCGGCTCCTCTGATCATCATCTGCTGCGCGAAAGCCGACTCGCCATCCAGGATTTCCTGATGGACTCCCAGTCTGGCCTCAGGGAATAGAGTCGTAAGCGACTCGAGGTCCGGGGGGTTGCGACCCAGTACCCATTGGCTCGGCGAGAACCCGTTGTGGTTCACCTTGTGGTTCTTGATGCCCACGGCCTCGGTCACGGCGAACTCCATGTTCTGTCGTCCTCGTAGTTGTCGTGATGTGACAATGCCCTTGATCACCTCCTTGAGGATTCCACCGTGACGTTCACCTCGTCCGAGCTGATATGGGCTCTCCACTCCAATGTAGCGCAACAAGACACCGTGGGAGCTCAGCAGCTTTTGCAGCTGTCCTCGGTTTTCAAGTCCTCGGTCCAGCACGACAGATTCCGGAGGTCCAGCCCAAGAGAACCAGATCGAACTCAAAGCTCTGGCCATGTTCCCTGAGCTTGGTGGTCCTCCGCCTTCTCCAACCACGACTGCTGCATGAAACAACGTGCCGAGGTCAACTACCGACATGATCTTATACTTGTGGTTGAAGGCGTCCTTGGCTACAAGCACGTCGATGGAGATGGCCTTGTTGAACCGGTACTCCTCTGGCATCTTGACCGGTGCGGCTCGCATTGGCTTCTTCATTTCTTCGCAGGTCGGGCATCGGAAGTTTTCCAGTGCCCGGATGGCAGCTGGATCAGCTCCAGCGGTTCTCAGTAGCCGCTGCATAGCCGAGGGTGGTGCATGTCCCACCATATGGTGGAGCCGCCTCAACGCCACCCTTGTGTTGTAGGGCAGCTCTCGCCAAAGATGCTGTCGTCGAGCGAGAGGTTCGCCGACTGGCGCGGGTGGCGGCGGTATTTCGCCCTCCTGGTAGATCACCTCCCACTCTTCTTGTTTTTTCTTTTCTGCGTAGCTGGGCTCTGTGGTTTGATCGGCGAGGTCGTTGATAGAGAGGATGCCGTCGAGATGTTTCACTTCCTCGCCATCGTCATCGCTGTCAATCTCGAGCTCAGCGTGTGCCTCGGCGGGGAAGGCGACCATGGTGAGCATGTAATCCAGCTCATCCATCCAGCCTTCCAGGATTTGCTTGCACATCTCTACAGGATACTCCTGAGCTTGCACACATCTTCGCTTGGTGTCCAATTGTTGATGTACATGTTGGCCATCACAACGTGCCACTGCCAAGCGACACTTGACGTGTCGAGAAGCCGTGAGGATGCCGGTGGGCTTCATGTGCGGCATCCCGTTGTCCTTGTCGCAAAGTCCAAACATGCATTGATCAATCTTGACACATTCCACCGGCTCCAGGGTGGCCTCATCCTTGGGTCGCTGCCGGAAGAAAGACTGCGAAGCTTTGCAGTCCCACATGGCAGAGTTCCAGGGGTTCTCGATGAGGACTTGTCTCCCCTTGGCGAGCCGCTCCTTGGTGACCTTGTACATCCATTGTATGGTGGGACGCCATCGCTTGCGCTGCTCCATGATGGTTTCTCGTGCCTGTCCCATGGCTATGTTCGTCCAAGAAGTCCAGGGTCCACACACAGGCGCAAAGGCGATGGCGAAGGGGTCGTCCCGCTCGATAATCATATCCACCTGGTCTCGGCCCTCCTTGGTGAGGAGGTCGTAGCCCGTGTTCAAGTCCACGGGTGGCGATACTGGCATGGCCCATTCCTGAAAGGCCATTTGCGTGAGCACAGCTGCTCCAGCGAAGATCTCCAGCAGGAAGGTCCGGCACCCACGAGGAAGTTCGTGATTTCGGCGGTTCTTGACCGGCCTTACTTGATTCCACATGTGGCGGTCGCGAATCTTGATGTTGTCCACGCTTTCCTTGACCTTCACGTGCTGTGCTCTGGACATCACTCTCGATTTCTCCAGGTCCACGGTGTAGTAGGAGACCTCCTCGGTGATGACATTCTCCGGCTCGCCAGGCTGTTCCTCGTTCACTTCGGCAATCACTTCCGCTGCCACCGGTCCATGTGGCGGTCCATCACGATCACGGGCGCCTTGATCAGTCTCTCCAGGGAGAAGACGGATCCCCAGCAGTCCGTCCTTGTAGGCGAGCCGAAGGTCGTGGCCAAGTGTCTGAGAGTGAACCACCTCGCCGGCCACGTCTATGATCAAGCCCAGTGCTCGTTGAGCTTGCATCGAGATGAGGAGCGGGGCGTCGGAGTTCACCAATTCGGTGCTCGTGAGGTCCCCTTGCGCCAGTCCGCCGTTGATCAGCTCCAAGATGAGCGGCAGCTTCCTTGTTCCGGCGGTTTGGATGTGACCGCCGATCCCGCGGATCCTCACAGTAGATGCCTGATCCACTTCAGGCATGCTTTGTCCGGTCGCTTGTATGTAGCGTTCCAGCCACCGGTCCCCGTGGCAGGTCTGGTTACATCCGGTGTCGAGGATGGCGATCAAGTCGTGCTCGTAGATGGCGTCAGTGTGCTCATCCTCGCTCATGGCCATAAGTGCCAGGGCATCTGTCCTGGCTTCGTAGCTGCTGCGCTCCTCAAAGTAGTTCTTCAGAGCCTTCATCCCAGATGCGCTGTTGGCCCCGATGTTGTTCAAGACCCAAGTACGGTAGTCGCGGTCCTGGTAGGCGTCGCAGTACTTGCCGTGCTTATAGCGGCCCATTTCCACCACCTTCAATCCTCTTGCTTGCAAGTTTCGGTGAAGTTCGGCATTCCCATAGCGTACCGGCTGAGAGGAGCCAGGTGATGACGAGGTCAAAGTAGAGGTTGCCGCAGTTCCCGGTCGACTCGGCGAGGCGGTGGAGGTCCATGTAGATGTGGTGGCGATTGCGAGGTCTAGGGCTTCATGTAGGCGTTGTGCTGGTACCTCGCTCCCGGCTTCCAATTCCTGAATTCGCCGCATCACCAGCTCCTGAAAGGTCTGAGCAATTCCGGGGATGGCCTCCTTGCGTACCGGCACAGGTCGTCGTAGTAGCGGGTGTTCACCTGGTGGCTCGGCTGTGCCGCGGAAGCTTGTCTCGCGGCTTCTGGGGCTCCGTGAGGAGCAAATCGTTCCTTGTGCCCGCAGTCACGACAGGTCCGGATGCGGACCGAGCCATTCGATCCACGCCAAGTTGTCCAGAAGTGCTGGCAGGTCGTAGTCGGTGTTGTCGTGGATGCGGTAGCCGCCGTGCCTTGCTCAGCCCTTCTGGTTCTCGAGAGAAGAGCACCGCAGTCTCGGCATTTCACCTGATGCACAAAACTGTTCGAACCTTGCGCTGTCGTTCTCAGGTGTTGGCACTCTCTCGGCGGGCCTGCTCGGGATGGCGGCGTCGTAGTGGTAGTCGGTGGACCCATCGAAGGTGCCGAAGCTGCCGGTAACGGTGTAGGTGCCGATGCGGAAGACGCCGGATGCCCTTCTCGCTGAGGTCGTGCTTCCACATTTCCATCTCGTAGAGGCAGTGGAGGCACCGTCGCCAGAGCATTCTCCGGGTTGGGGTGCGCGAGGGCGTCGTAGAGCTCCACCATGTCGGGGTCGTCCGTGTCCATGGGAAGCCACTGGCCCTCAACCTCGGTCGGCATGACAACGACACTCCAGTTGTCACTCTGCTCTCCCGATGAGGCTGCAGTGGGGCTCGAGGGTGCCATCATACCCTCAGTTAGCATCGCTGGTGGAGGCACCGCCCGCATAGACGGAGCAACAGACCAGTCTTGCTCAGCTGCGTTGGCTCTTGGCGGAGTGGCAACGTTCCGGTAGGCGAGGTTCGCGGTCGGGTGGTTTGTTACGGCCTCGCTTATGGAGAAGTAGACCGTGCGGGGTCGATCCGGCTTGGATCCACGCCCGCCGCCTCCGCGGTGCTGTGAGTTTCCAGCTCCAGAGGTAGTAGTGCTCGTTGAGGTCTTTCCACCACTCTTCCACTTGCCTTTGCCCTTCGACATCGGGCACTCGAAATCTCCGCTCCAGTGGCCAACAGCTCCACATCGTTTACATGTGGTGCGCGCTTTGAGCGCCCGAAGGCGCGCTCTCTTGTCATCCAGAGATATCGATCCGGATATCTCAAAAGGGGGATTGCCTTTGCGAAATCCTCCATGGCCCTTTGTCGCTGCCCCCTTTCTCGCAAAGTACGCTTCCTGCTCTGCTTGGATGACGTCCGAGGCGAACTCACATGCCTCCTGATCCTCCGGATCCAGCCCGTTCTCTGTCAGGTAGGCCAGGTGCTCCTCCGCGTAGGTCCCGACGTTCTGGTCACTGAAGAACCCGAGGGCCTCCGGCTCGTTGGTGGCATAGTCCTCGGTTCCACCATCCCAGATCTCCTCCGAGTAGTTCTCGTTCGTGCCGTCGGGGTAGGCGAAGCCCTCGTCCTCTTCCGCGAAGAAAGCCGCCTGGTACCTCGGCTTTCCACGGTAGCCCTTGGGAGATCCCTTGGAGCCAAACCGTGAAAATCCCTTGTTCTCGGGCTTCCGGAAGTAGTTGTGGTGATTGTAGTGGCTCTGGCTCGCTCGTGCTTGTATGTTCGGGTGCTGGTTTACGAGCTCCTGCGCGACGCGGTCGAAGTCCATCTTCTCTCCGACCACAGTGCGGATCATCAGCCTCTGGTTTTCATCCAGGCCACTGTTCAACAGCAGTTGTTCACTAAGAACCAGGTCTGGTAGTTTCAACTCCGAGGATAGGTCTACCATAGCGTTGTACCAGGCGCGGCGGCGAAGAACGTAGCTGCCCATCGGTTCCGTGGGCTGTCTCGAGAGGATTCCGCCCTGTTGCGCCCCGGCCTCGTACAACTCCCTTGCCTGCTGCATTCTCCTTGGCCTCAACTCAGTAGTGATCTTCTCTATCAGGTAGTCGAGGCCCTTTCCATTCGCCTGGTCCAACTTGGCCAGGTCGAGCTGCTGAGCGATCTTCAAGGCATGCCCACTCAGGCCCTCGATCAGCCTCAAGGACAAACTGCCGAGCTTCTTCTGCTCGGACTCTGAGAGTCCAGCTTCTTTCTTGGCCATCATGCGGGCTCTGAAGATCCACTCGTTCAGCTTAGCGGCATCGCCATTGTATCGTGGCACGCCTTGTCGACCTTCCGTGGTCGACCCTCCAGGTTCATCTTCACTGATGAACTGGGCATAGCGAAAACTGTCCAGCAAGCTGCCGGCCGACATGTAGTGGGCTCACCCTAAGGTTGACCCTGAGCGGTTTTCCCGCTCCGCTACCAGTGCAAGAATGCACTGGCAACGGCTAACTTGTTTTGCTCGCATGCTTGAGCCATGCGCGTCGATCAAGGGCTGATGGCAAGCGGGTTCCTTCTGCACAACATGCAGACTGTTCTGCATGTGACCCGTTCATTTCACAAGTTTCTCTGTTCCAGCTGCTAGGCATGTATATCCAAAACCTGTACTTTCACAGCTTTCGGAACACTTCTAGACTTCAGGCACAAATTCAAGTCCCGAGCGCTGTGCCATCTGCCCCAATCAAACCCGGAGCTTGTCATTCCGATTGACACGTAGGCGTCTTAATCTTGGACCCTGGCAGGCCGGGCGACGCACGCTTCAATGCTTGAAGCTCTTCGCCGGAAACGGTCACACCAACTAAGCAAGCCCGACCCTTCTGCACTTCAAGCTGCTGAAATCCTAGGTTTAGGATTGAGGTTCTATCGCTCCAAATCTTCTTGCCATAGCTAGCCGCAAGCCACAAAAATGCCGAAGCACCTAACCCATCTTTAGCCTAAACCTTGCAAGTCGCGACCCAAAACAACCCTAAACCCTAAACCGAGAAGTTCCACAATCCCTCTCCTCCGGAGTTAGGAAAGCCTCGCATTCATAGATTTGCGGTTGCCGACCTCAAGGACGGAGAAATGAGGTACCCAGGGCAGGGTATTGTGGAGGTCAGAATAATACGAAAAACGGAAAGAATAATAATGACTAGACTGGAATTTCGGTAGACTAGGATTTTGGGGGTACGTCAGACTACCGCTTTAAGTAGTTCATAATGGCAAAAACTGTTGCTTATCTTCTGGGGCCAAGGCGTTCTTTTTTTTCAAAAAAAAAGAACGCCTTGGCCCCAGAAGATAAGCAACAGCTTTTTGCCATTATGAACAAAAAAAGAACGCCTTGGCCCCAGAAGATAAGCAACAGATTTTGCCATTATGAACTACTTAAAGCCAAGGCGTTCGCTCTTCAGGGTTCTGTTGGGATTTATAGATGCTCAGCATTTGCGAGTTTCACAAGTTAGGGCGTAAGGACTAAGCTTGAGCAGCCTATTCCCTTGACTGCCTTGCCCTGCAAGAACTTGTTTCTTTGTGCGTCTGAATGCCAAGCGACTAGAATGCCAAACGACTGCCAGACACAAAAGAATGGCAAAATGAGAAGGCGAAGTCAAGTGCCTACACAGGCAAAGCATGGAACCATCATCTGGAATACACCCGGTCGAAACATCGGGCTCGGAGAATTGTGATGTGAAAGCTCCTTGGCAGCCCACTCTCGAACCCAACCCTAACAACATAAAACCTGAGTTCAAAAACCGAAATCCTAAACCCAACTCTAACGTGATGCAACCAAAGTTCTATCATCCGCAGACACCGACACTTCAGTCCAAAAGCTTTTGTCCAAGAACTCCCTGGGACCAACTTACTCGCACATTTTGGGCTAGGGGCTCATGAGAAAATATCAGTAAAGTGTGGAATGCGCTGTGACACGAGCTTCTTCCGTTGAATCGCGGCTTTCAAAAAATAGCCGTGCCGTAATTAAAGTCTCGGCAAGCCACGCCGAGACTGCACATCATGATTTGTGCTTTCTGGGTTTGGGTCTAGCGCTAAATCCAGCAAAGGCACACAGCAAGCGCCATGTAGCTTCCCTCCCGACAGGGATGTCAGCCAGAACAGCGTCGTCGGAGCCATTGCACATGGCACTCTCCCGAACCTTCAACCGACCGCAGACCCAAGAACGGCTCTTGTCTGAACCCAATGTGGCATTGCGCCTTCTTCGGATGGTATTTTCCTTAACGGCTTGTGAGCATCACGCTGCGTCCAATTGGCCCTTGTGACTCTACAAAGACTGCAACAAATCAGACGACGCAAGATCATGTCGGCAACGTCTCCATGCCCTGACCAGGCCCCTACGGTTGAGATTTCTGAAGGCCTTCGTATGGTTCACTCGAACCGAATGATTTAGCAACCCAGGTTTAAGGAGTTTGGGATTTAGGCTTGGGTGACTGTTGACTCAGCTACTTCGGAAGGCACCCCTAAACCCTAAACCCTAAACCCCTAAACCCTAAACCCCTAAACCCTAAACCCTAAACCCAAGCTTTGGCGTCATACGCAGAAAATGTTTGACTTCGGTTGCCAGTGATTGGAGGCCTGGGCCTCAGGGCGCGGTCTGACACCTTTCATAGAACTTCACTGTCACTGCAATACCCAAAGGGTCCTATGTACCGATATAGTAGTAGAGTGTAGGGTTTCCATACTAGGATTTACTATGACTTAGGGGAGTATCCCCCACAACAGTACGTAGGACCCTCTGGGATATAGAGGCCTAAACAATCACCTCAATACTTTTTTGGGAGGTTTCCCCATTTAATGGCAGTATAGCGGGCCCCAAAACCCTATTCTGATTTATTAAGGCCCTTAAATAATTATAGTACCCTTATAGATCCCTCATAGTATCCCTTTAAAGGACCCATTTAAAGGGACCCTATTCTAAGTATTAAGGCCCTATATCGTAATTAATCGCAGCCCCAAGCCACTGAACCTTGCGGTCGGGTCTCACATTTGCAATGCTCTTGTGCGAATAGGTCCAACGACCCTTATAATAATATAGGGGCCTGAATAATTAGAATAGGCTTCTGGGGTGGTATATTCTATTGGTCATAAGAAGGAACCTCCAGAGCCCCTAAAATTATAATCAGGAGCCCCCGAAACCCTATTCTAATTATTAAGGCCCCTACATTGTAGAACCTTACTATAGATCCCTTATAATCGAGCCCTTTAAGCACTCCTTTAAAGGGAACCCTATGCCCTCATAGTGACAAGCCTCTCCTCGTCTCTTTCGGGATCCATGCCCTTATCCGCCTGCTTTCGAGCCAGCCGCTCCTCCAGCAGACTTCTTCGAGGACTGTTACGGTTGATGATATAAACCCTGCATTACCTTAAGGACCCTAAACTATGGGAATTATGGTATAGTCCCTATTCTGGGTAATGCATAAGGTTTGGGAAACCCTAAACCTCTAAACCCTAAACCGTAAGTTTGCATCAAAGGGGAAAAGGAGGAACCCTTAATGGGGACCCCTACCCTATAATGGGCTTTATAATGGGTATATAATAGCTATATTCAGGGTATATACCTAGGGGTCCTTATTACGTAAGGGTCCCTCCTTTTACCCTTGGATGTTATGGACTTAGCGGCTGAGTACCCTGGCCCTTGCAAAGTTCAGGTTAACCTTTTGAACTACAGTAGGATTATATATGGCACAAAAGGTTAAAGGCTACCTACTCAACTGCTACGTACGTCATAGGGCACAGCTATGATAGGAAACCCTGAGGAATGGCGCCAGTATCGGTCTTTCTTCAGGCTGTCATAATTCAAATAACAAATGACCACCCTAAACCCTAAACTCCTAAACCCTAAACCCCCGAAACCTTGAACCCTGAACTCCTCCAAACCGTACACCCTCTCAACCCGAAGCCGCAATCCCCGCTAAACCCTAAACGAGTACGGGTGCTTGTGTTTCTGGAAGCCTTGGGGTCCGGGACCTTGGGGCCGATTCCCGAATATGAGGGGTACCGTATTTTGGGTTTAGGGTTTAGGGCTTAAGGGTTTAAGGGTTTAAGGGTTTAGGGTTTGAGGGTTTAGGGTTTAGGGGTATTTTGGGGGGGTTCTTATAACAAGGATCCTACTCTGTAGGGTACTATATTAAGGTCCCCCCCTATTTTCGGAAACTCCCAATCTGGGCCGACTTTTCTACCTGGCTCTGACTTTAGGGGATTTAGGGTTTGGGTAGGGGTTTAGGGGTTCAGGGGTTTAGAGTTTAGGGTTTAGGGGTTTAGGGTTCGGAGGTTTAGGGTCTGGAGGTTTAGGGTTTAGGGTAAAGTCTCCATTGTAGTTCCTTTTGTGGGTTCAACAAGAGCTATGTTTAGGATCCTTGACGGTAACCCCAATAAAGCAAATACAGTGGAGACTGTAGGTAGGTTTAGGGCTTAGGTTTATAGGAACCTCCATAAAGTTGGAAACCGGATTAGGGCCAAAATGTGCTGGGATTCCCTATACGTTACTCTTCAGGATTGAGGCTATTGGGTTTCCAACTTATTTTGGGCTTCTACGATAGGGTCAAGATGAGGAAATCAAGTTGGGATGTTTTGGGCTTTTCCGGGTGGCTGAAAGTCGATTGACTGAAGGACCCCATACCCCCTGATTGCAAGTAGTGTAGGAGCCTGGTTTTTAAGACCCTTGAGTGATGGTTGATGTTGTTGGGGCTTCTATTATACATGTTCTGCAAAAAACAGAACACCGTGACATCAAAGACTAATGAACATCATGGTTGTCAGTATTGTCAAACTCACCCCAAACTGAAAGATGGCAGTAGCACCGGTGCTAACAGTACGTAGCATTAGCCATCATCATGAGAATGGAAACCATCATGATATTCCAATGCCCCTAAACCCTAAACCCTAAACAATGCCACAACCCTTACGACAGTGCATCCTCAGGCCAAAAAACTGATGACGGCAGCCACAAGGAAATTACAATCTACTTCGCGAGCTCCTGGCCCAGGACCGGTAATGATTATGGTTAGGAATCTAAACACTGATCTCTAAATGCTGAAAAGAGAGCTCTCCCATGCTCTCCTACTCTTCTAAACCTAGGAAAAGGTCATAGCTCCACAGATGGTTTAGGGTTTTAGGAACCGGGAAGACTTGAGAAGTGGCTCATTTCTTGCCCTCCCCAAGCGGCTTGCAATCACGAGCTTGATCCCGACAGGGCTTAGGGTTCAGGGATTTGTGGTTTAAGGGTTTTAGGGTTTTGGGCGCCCAGTACGACCTCGTAACTCAACAAGCAGAGCTCTGGTATGCAGGCGCCATGCCACAGATCGCCCAAGCGATGTTGTAACCCTTTTCGCAGGTTCAGTGCTGGTAGACACGTCTGCGGAAGATATGGGAGTTTCCCAGATTAGGGGGATGCTAACGTTCATAAGCCCAGAAAAGTTTAAACTTTCATCTTTAGACAGGGTTTCATTATTGCAAAAAGTTTAGAGTTTATCAACCCAACTACTAAGAATACCCCCACAATGTGATCAGAATCCTGAGGCCCTAATACCCGAAAACCACGGAAACACTGCATTGGAACGGACCGCCTTGGCTTCGTCGATTTCCCGCTTCTTGCCATTAGCCACCATCTCAGCGACTCTCTACTTACATGGTCATCGGGAAGTCGGTAACTATAATTACAGCTATTTACGGCCCTGATGGCAGAGATTACACCGGCATTGGCATACGAAAGTGCAAAGGGCCGTTTCAGCTTCTGCCGATTTTGGTTTACAAAGCAAAGGACAGTTTCAGCCGTAGGCAAGTTGGAAGAATACGATCCGGGCTTCAGGAGACTTGTGATCATGCTTACCCTAGGGCTCTAAAGTAGTTCCTTTTTGTCCTTTTTGGGTTTGTAGAATCCTATAAGGTAATCCCAAAAAGGAACTACTAAGGAGCCTATGGGTAAGTCGGGCTAAGGATGCGAGGGCTTGGCCCTTTGGGTTGAGCCCCAAACGCTAAATCGTAGGGTTCGTGGTTTGGGGATGGCGCGGATGCAGAGACAACGGGTTCTAGGGCTTGGGCGAGGCATCGAACAACCAACAATCATCCGACTTCTTTGAGCAACACGGGTCGCTCCGACCTCTCGGAGGTTGTCATGAAGCAATGCGATGTCCTAAAGTGTTTCAGAGATCACGTCGAGGTGGACATATGTGGATCTGGGCATCGATGCAGGTCATACCAACTCTTCCATGCCGAATGTCTGCGTGTTTTTCAAGTCGTCCGGATTGAAGCTCAAACCCTTTGAAGGTCACCTCCAAGTGTTGAAAAGCTGGGGGGTGCATTGCAAAAACCACAGACTCACTGTCCTCGTCCTGATAATGAAGGATTACTCCCTAAACCCCGGGAGAATGAAGCCTACCTGGACCCCGTATAGTCCACCTTCTTAGGGTTCCCTAATATGACTTCTTTATATAAGTCCTTCAACGCTAAGTTCTTTGGGGTTAAGGTAAACCCCGAACCCTGAACCCTAAACCCCTAAACCCTAAACCCTAAACCCCTAAACCCTAAACCCCTAAACCCTAAACCCTAAACCCCTAAACCCTAAACCCCTAAACCCTAAACCCCTGAACCCTAAACCTCTTGCTGCCGGCATGCCAGGGCGTCTTTCATCTCGGACCTCTTTTCCCGGAGCTCCTCAGGGTTTCGTGGGGGGCATCGCGTTTTCGGGCTTGAGCCTTTTTGTTTTGTTTAGGTTGGTTTATAGGGTTTAGGGTTCAGGGCTCAGGGTTTAGGGTTTAGGGTTTACGGTTTAAGGCTTAGGTTTGGTTGGTCTAGGGTTCAAGGCTTTTCGGGTGCAAACGCCCCGTTTCTCCACAAGGAGACTGGCTCAGTCTGAGCGTGCACTGTACGGCACAACTTCAAGCCCTCACTACCACTAGACTTCACGAGCAGCGTGCACAGAAGGGAACGCTGTGGCTGCCTCTCTCCTGCCCAAGGCCTCCGAATTTGTTGGGAGTTTGGGGGCTTGCTTAAGGGTTTCGAATCTAGGATGCGGGGGGTCAGCTTGAAAAGACCGTTTTGAATAGAATGTGGGATGAATCATACAACCCCCCAAATGCCAGACAAATATGTTTTTTGAACCAGCCCTTCGAGCCCAAACCCGAAACCCTAAACCCCTAAATCCTAAACCGCGGCTTACGAAACCTCGAACAAGAAAACTGGATATCGGCCCTCACGACCCAAATATAGAAATCAAAGGATCGGAGTTTCACGGCTCCAAGCCCCATATACCCAAAGGCTCATGAGCCGTTATAGTAGATACTTATGCCTTAAAGGTGTCCCTATATAGGCACTCGACTAATATGGGTACATGGGGCCTTAGGGAGAAGCTCGAACCCCCAAAGAAGCCCCAAACCCTAAACCCTAAAACCTAAACCCTAAACCCCAAAGCCTAAGCCCTTAGAGGCTTTCCGATTTGGGCATGTTCTTGGGGTGAGTCGGATGTCTTCTCCTATAAGGTAGGAATCTCTGATTAAGAAACCCTGGGCCTTTCTTAGGGTTCCTTTAGAGGGGTCTATAAGGGTTACTATAAGGGATCTAGAAGGCTACTACAATAATGTAGGAACCTGATTAAGAAACCCTGGGCCTAAATCCCAAAATAATAGGATTCATATTAAGAATCCCAATAGAGCCCCAAGGCTTCTTAATCAGGTTCCTACATTATCCCCCTGGATATCCCATATAAACCCCCTGATTTTGGAAGCCCAGTAAGGTAGGGATATCCCGTAAAATGCTTATGCTTATGTGCTTTTTGGGCCCTAAGTATACCCTGTGAAGCTGCAGCTGGGGCGGTGACCTGCTTGTTCTTTTCGAAGGCATCTTCGTAGACCTCCGAGCGCCGAGGAGCTTGGTAAGCCCTAGCCATAGGCCCCATAATAGTTCCTTTTGGGGGTTCAGAAGTAGAATTCTACAAGGTGGTCCCAAAAAGGACAAACCATGGGGTAAACTCCCCCTAAACATTGAACTCTAAACCGGAAGCCGCAAACTGGTAATTTTCTGTTTGACAGACCCGAAACCTCAAAGCCTGGGCTCTTTACTGCGGTTGATGATATAAATCCTGCATTTCCCATAATAAGGAATATACCATAATTCCCATAGTTTAGGGCATTAAGGTAATGCAGGGTTTATATCATCAACCGTAGGTAGTGGTTCATGGTTTAGGGTTTACGGTGCGTTGTTCTTGTTGTAGCTGCGGTTGTCGTGTCTGTGTCTTGGCTAAAGGCACTGGGGGTTGTTGGCACTCACTCCTCGCATCCTTTCGTGGTTTTATAGGTGCCTCAGGGTCTAAGCATGCGTACATGGAGCCTTGGAGTAAGCCAGTGTTGTGATAGGGATTTCTGATCTGCAGCCAGAAACACTGGACTATGAGAAACCCTCGTCTGTTGTGCTGAAGATGCCACCCCAGAATGGCCTCTATCAAGTCGCCTCCAGTTCTCAGGTTGAAGCCATTATTTTCTTCGCAAATCCTAGGCACCATGAAGCGGAGGGCCATCACATAGATGCCTTTCCTGGATCCCCGAGTTCATCCTCTTGTTTCTGCTGCCCGAGTTTCAGGGCACCGGACCTTGCCAACCCCATCCGAAAAGCACGTGGCTCCTGCAGAAGATTGCTGAAGTAAAGCTCCATGAATCTTCTTTGGGCACGTATGTTTTCCAAGTAGGTCAGCAAGTAGCGCGCGTTGCCTGCCGGCTCGAAGCCGTGCTCGTCGCAACGAGCACGGTGAGGGGAACCCGAAATGAAGACAAGAGCCCTGTCCCTGAACCCTAGAAACTTCTGCTACCGCCTTCTAAGAGTTTCCTTAAAGGTTACTGTAGAGTTCTGTAGTTTAGGGTTTAGGGTTTAGTCCACTCGAAAATCAAAGAGTACTATGGGGTTCTATACTAGGGCTCCCGTTTAATAGGGTTCCTTGAAGGGCAGTATCGGGACTCCTGCGACTTTGAGGCACTTATAGGGTTTATTCATTTCAGTCTTCGCCCAAAGGCTTCCATGCGGGTCCAACCTGGCCGTCCTTTGCTTTCCACTCAGCGAAGACGGCCTGTTTTGTCCAAGGGCTTGCATTTATCTACATCTTGGAGCTCAGCAGTTTCGGCTTGAGAGTGCGGTTTAGAGTCTATGGTCTCAGAGCTTCGTGCGTTTGAACGGTATGAACTGCTTTGATGGCAAGGGTTCGCTTTGAGAATTCTAGTACGAAGCTTCTCACTGACATGCGGCCAGGCTAGGACGGCTCTTGCACACTCAGAGGCTTGGCACAGCATCGCCAACCAACATGGCAGTACATGATCAACATCTGCACAATCCGCGTAAAACCGTCGTGTCTGAGAGCTAAAACGCCAAACTAATCTACTCAAACAAACCAGGAAACTCGTCTATGAAGCAGAGGTTGCACGGTATAGGACTGATCGCAGGGCCGAATTTAAGATTTTACATAGGGGCATCAGTGTTCCTTGATAGTAGAATAGGTTTTGGGGCATAGTCTACGGTAATGAACCCCCAATATAGTGTATGTAATTATTTAAGCCTGTCTAGTATCTCGCTCTGCGAGCTGGTCAAGTGATACTGACGGGACAGTGTTGGAGTTTGGGGTCTACCTGAATAAACTACTCTGTTTATGGACAACCCTAAACCCTAAACCCTAAACCTAGGACAGGGAACCCTCAGGACGGCTCTAAAGGACCCAAGTAGTGTCCCAAGGGCTGAACAACCGCTTTTGGGTTCGGAGGCTGGGTTTTTTTTTCGGACTTCGGTGATGCCTTTCCAAGCCCTACATGGCCCCAAACCCTAAACCCTAAACCCCAGACCCTAAACGCACTAAACCCTGAAGCATGAACCCTAAACCCAAACTAAACCCTGAACACCCCAAAATCCTGAAGCCTAAACCTTAATTAACGAGTCCTTAATCTGGAATCCTCAAGCCCATCGACCTGCACACCCCCAAAGATCCTTTTACATGGAGCCCAGGGGTAAAGCACCATACATCCGAAAGCCACTAGCGCACAAAGCCGAAAAAAAACAAAAGCCCTAAGAGGATGAAGAACCTTTCAAGCCACTCTGGCATACTTATATTATTCACTGTCGTTCCTGTTTAAGTAGGTAACCCAGTTATTTTAAAGGATCCTAAGCATAAAATTGGTTAACCAAAAAAGGAACTACATGGAGGCTAAAACTAGGCCCCCAAGCCATAATGGCCGGAGAAAGTCATTGTGCTGTCGGGATTACGTTTGAGGGTTTCCTCTAATTGAGGAGTATACCGTAAATCAGATTAGGGATCTTAAGGCATCGTTCCTTAGTTAATCAAGCTTATGGGAAGGTTTGGGAACCCTGTGCCTAAAAAGCTTGCCATTGCTAGGTCAAAGAACTCCTAACAAAACCATCCCTCTGTTATACCACCCTGAAATCTTGCACAACCCGGACCGACTGGTAAGCGTGGTCCAAATGAGCCCAAAAGCCCTCCTAAACCCTGAACCCTTGACACCTTAATGTCTCAAGCCTCAAACAGCCAACTAAACCCTCAAGACCAGGAGCCTTAACAACGACACACTAAATCCCTAATCCCTTAAACCCTCACAAACCACTAGACCTTTAACACCTTAATCCCTTAAGCCACGGTGCAGAATTTAGGGTTTAGGGTTTAGGCCTTAAAACCGACTAAACCCATGACACCCTGATACCTTTGGCCTTAAAAGCCTTCCAAAACCAGCAATCCTACTCGCTTAATTGGTATCCTAAGCCATAAAGGCCTTAAGCTCTCCGAGGTGTGTGTCAACTTTTCTGCAAACCACCTACACCTACACTGCTTCGTGTCGCGAAGTGCCCAGCCGCCCACCCAGATTTCGTTCCCTTCCGCCCTCGCATCGGTACGAAACCACGGCTTTGGGCAAAGAACACAGACGGCGTGCTCCGCGATCCATGCGTAGACAGGTCCCAAGACAGGCCGAAGATGACCCAGCGCAGTTCACGCGAACGACGCAGACCCAGCACAGACCGGTTTTGGTGCGAGCGGAAACCCAGTGGGAGCACGTGGCGAACTTAGTCAGCAAGACATCTGCTTTCATCATCAGCCTCCCCAGGACTGCCCGCAGGTCTGCAAGGCATATATTGCTTTCTCGCACGCTGTCTTCGTAAGCCAGCTGATCAGCCAACCTTAACCCTGACCCCCTAAGCCTTCAAGGCCTAAACCCAAACCACCTCAACCCTTAACGCCATAAGTGACCATAAGCCTTAAGAATCCTAAACCCTAAACCCTTGACAACTTCATCCACTGGGCCTTAAGTAGGGACCAAAAAACACATAAGGCAATAACAAGGATAGGAATATCCCATATAAAGCCCCTTATAATGAAGCCCAGCAAGGTAGGGATATCCATATAGAATGCCTGTGCTTGTACATGTCCTTCTGGAATCCCTGTTAAACGCCACCCAAAAACCAACATTTTTCAGGCCGTACATAAGGAAGTCATATGAGAGAACCCGAAAAAAAAGCTTTTGAAGGGTCCAGGTAGGCTTTAAAGGCCCCCCTAAGCCCTAAACCCTAAGCCCTGAACCCTAAACCCTAAAACCCAATAATCCTGAAGCCCTAAAGCCCTAAACCCTCCAAACCCTAAATCCCTGAAGCCTCATCAACCCTAAATCCCTTAAGCCGTAACCCGAAAATCCCCAATGCCTTAAAAGCCCCAGGCTAAGCCCTAAACCGTAAAACCCTAAAGCCCTCAAGCCGTAACCCTATCCCCTTATGCCCCTCAGGCTTAAACTCTAAACCCTCAAACCCTAAACCCTCTAGCCCCTCAAGCCCTAAAACCCTAAACCCCAGGCTAAAACCCTAAACCCAAAACTCGAAAAACCCTCAAGCCGTAACACTGATCCCTTATGCCTTAAAAGCCCCTAGACCCTACAACCCTAAAAACCCTCAAGCCCTAAACCCTCATAACTAATATCCCTATACCCTAAACCCTCTAGATCCCTTATAGATCCCTAAATCAAAGGGTAAAAGGAGGGACCCCTAATAAGGACCCCTAGGTATATACCCATAATATAGCCATTATATAGCCCATTGTAGGGTAGGGGTCCCCATTAGGGGTCCCTCCCTTTCCCCTTTGATTAAAGGAACCTCAGGCTGGCCTGCTTGTCACTAAACCGTCCTAAACCCAAATAACTGGTATCCCTATGCCCTAAACCCTCTGGATCCCTTATAGATCCCTTAAAATAGTTCATAGTTGGGATAGGAATAAAAGTATAAATTCTTATTCGTTATTGGGTTTAAATACCCATAAACATGTAAAATGTTACCCGACTATGACAAAGTAACCCCTAAAAAAGCCATCCCATGAGATCCCTTAAAGGAACGCTTATAGATCCCTTAAAGGAACCTTTATACCATAAATCCCATAGTTTAGGGTCCTTAAGGTAATGCAGGCTTATAGATCTCTTAAAAGGAACCCCGGGTTGGCCTGCTTGTCACTACAGCCTAAACCCCCTAGACCCTAATCCCTTAAGCCTTAAAAGCCCTTAAAAGCCCCTATACCCTAAACCTTCTGGATCCCTTAAAGATCCCTTAAAGGATCCCCTAAAGGATCCCTTAAAGGATCCCTTAAAGGATCCCCTTAAAGGATCCCCATAAAGGATCCCCTTAAAGGATCCCCATAAAGGATCCCCTTAAAGGATCCCCATAAAGGATCCCTTTAAAGGACTCCCTTAAAGGATCCCTTAAAGGAACCCCAGGCTGGCCTGCTTGTCCGGCGCCTTCTCTCCCTCACCTGGCTTCGCCGGGCTGCGAGGCCTCGGCCCAGAGAAAAAGTAGGGCTCCCTTGAAGGGCTCCTTCAAGGGATCTATAGGGCTCCTTAAAGGGGTCTATATTCGAGATTAGGGTATAGGGTTTAGGGCTTTAGGCTTAGGATTAGAGTTTAGCGATGAGAGGCTTTTAGGGGAAAGATTAGAGTTTAGGGTTTGGGGCGAATAGGGTTAAGATTCGAGGATAGGGTATAGGGCTTTATGGAAAAGATTAGAGTTTAGGGTATAGGGTTTGGGGCTCTAGGGTTAAGATTAGAATTTAGGTTTTAGGGTTTTAAGGCTTTAGGGTTAAGATTAGAGTTTAGGGTATAGGATTTAGGGTTTTGGGGTTTAAGCTTATAGGGTTTTGGGGCTTAAGGTTGCGGGTTCCTCTTAGCTTTTTGCTCGCGGGCCCTTTTCCAACTGCGAGTACGGCTGAAATCCCGAGATCCGGAGGGCCTGGGTTCAGGTCGGTTTACCTTAATTGGGGGTTATAAGTAATTATAAGTATAGTTACCCTAACAATAGCCTTAGTTACGAAGTCCCATGATCCTTTAAGTAGGGTCTAGGGTTCAGGGTTTAGGGTTTAGGGGGTCTACCCAAGAGTAACCTAGGAATAAAAAGGGCTTTTTGGTTTTAAGGGGCTTAGAAGGGACCTGAACCCCCAAAAAAGGGAATAAGGGCCTACTCTAGGTCCTAGTAGTGTTTACCTAAAGGCCCCAAGGTAGTTCCTTTTTGGGGTTCATATCTTTAATTCGATAAGGTAATCCCCAAAAGGAACTACTTTGGGGCCTATGGGTATAATAACCAGGTACTTTCTGTCAGAATACTAGCAGTGTAGGTCAGTCTTCTCGGAAGTGACCCTAAACCCTAAAACTAACCCCTATACCTAATAATAAGGGCTTTTTAGGGGTTACGTACTGTCAAGGGTTCTGAGCTGTTTACTTCTTTCAGCGATGCAGTTTTTGTTTTGTTGTTGGGGGGTGGGCGTACATGATCATCAAGCACTTGGACACTCGCGGGGGCAGGAAAATACAGATTTTTATCAAGGAATGCATTGGGTTTAGGGCTGAAGGATTGTAAATTTCGTATAAGGGTTTTAGAAAATGGTTGTATCAGGGCTGAATGGGTTTAGTTTAAGAGTTTTGGGCTTAATACGAGTGTGAAAAGACCATGTTCGTATATAGAGGTCTGCAGATGGTTTCTGACACGTTCTGTAAGTCTGTGAGGGTTCATTGTTCGGAGATGGACTTAAGGGTTCCTGGGCTGAGGGCCATACCTATAGTCTCCATTGTAGTTCCTTTTTTGGGTTAACCAGTTTTATGGTTAGGATCCTATATGGAGATTTTGGTTTTCCCAAAAGAGGAACTACAATGGAGACTATAGGTAGGGTTGAAAAGAAGCTTTGGGCTCATATTGAAGGGTTTCTGGTTTCGGGCTTAGGGCTTTAGAGATCTAGGGCATGCTGCTTCAAGGGCTCCGAGCTTGTCGAGATGACTAGGCGCGAGGAGTGTTTCAGTGGCAGCCTGGATAAAAGAACCGAACAAGCAGGAACCCTCAAGTAAACTTCTCAACCGAGCCGGTTGATATTCAGGTTAAGCGTCGGGTTTTTGCACTGGGCAAAGTGCTGATGTTCTCTGTAGTTTACAGGATTGGTCTGGCGCGTCACTGACTCATATGTCGATGCAGTTTGGGAGCTTCAAAGAAGCAGACACATCCGGAAAACAGTAAGCCCCAGAGACTCCAATATCCCTTAATTAAGGAAAATACCATACATTATAGTAGGATCCTTAATATGATTTAGGGTGTATTCCTTTATTAAGGGATATTGGAGTCTCTGGGGCCCAAACGGTGGGCAAATAACACAACACCGATCCTTGTTCAAACCCCCAATGCCCCCTCCACGCACCCTCAGCCCAACAGCCTTGGTATAAGAACCATAAACCCTCAATCCTCTACCTGAACCCTAAAACACCCTACAGTAAGTCCTAAACCCGATAAGGCGGAGACCTTGAATAAGATCATCCTTCCCAGAGACTTCAACATCGCTTAATTCAGGAATATGCCTTAAACTATAGTAGGATCCCTAATATGATGTAAGGAAAATTCCTTCATTAAGGGATCCCGAAACCCAAACCTTAAACCCTAAAAACCCTAAACCCCAAAAACCCTAAACCCCAAAAGCCCTAAACCATAAAAACCCAAAAACCCTAAACAACCCTAAACGCTAAAATCCCAAAACCCTAAACCCCTAAGCCCTAAAAACCCAAAACCCTACACCTTAAACCCCCCCTGAACCCAAACCCTAAACCCTAAACCCTAAAAACCCTAACCCCTAAACCTTAAATCCCTAAACCCTAAAATCCCAAAACCCTAAACCCTAAAAACCCTAAAAACCCAGAACCTTAAACCCCTAAACCCTAAAATCCCAAAACCCTCAACCCTAAAAATCCTAAAAACCCAAACCCAACCCCAAGTCTGGGCTCCGCACCCCTCGCCGTCTCCCTCCTCCTCCTCGTCACCTGCGCTGCTTGGGCTTTAGGGCTTTGGGTTTAGGGTTTTGGGGGTTAGGGGTTAGGATCTATAGGGTTTAGGAGGGTAGGGCTTAGGGTTTAGGGGGTTTAGGGTTTAGGGTTTAGACGTTCGGATTTGCGGCTGATCGTGTGTTTCCGGGCTGCTTTTTCCGTCAACCAGCAGTACTTGGAGGATCATGGGACTTAGTAAGTAAGGTTATAAGTACCTTACTTGGCGTTATAAGTAGTTATAAGTATAGTTACCCTAATAATAACCTTAGTTGCTAAGTCCCATGATCCTTTAAGTAGGGTTGAGGCTTACGATTTAAGGGTTGCAGGCTGCTTCACGCCACATAGGCTTGGCCTTAAAGCACAAATGCTAGCTAGGAAGGCAGGATTTACAGATGTTATGAGGAGTATACCTTAGGAGCTGCCCCCACCCTGTAATAGTGACAATAAGGATTATATAGGATTGTATTAGGGCCCTATTATATTCCTATTATACCACTATTACAGGGTGGGGGCATCTTCTAAAGTATACCCTTCAACTGTGGGACCATACGGCCAAGGATGTCGAAGGCGGCAGGGTCGGCTGCAGTTAGAGCGGCCATGAACAACCCAAATGCAAGTAGAGACGTGGCGCTGATATCAGGAGTGGACAGCAGAAAGAGTATCGCAGCAGTGCTCGATGACCAGTCTACGTAGTGTCTTGCAGGGCGTTCGAAGAAGAGTGTTGAGTACAGCTTCATGTAGTGAACCGGTCCGTACGTAGCTCCAGCACATGTAGACTTCATGAATATGCTTTGAGGTGCTGGGCCTGCAACTATGCCGTTCAAGTTCCCGATATGTCGCCAGACAAGGCAAGCGAACACCAAGTGACATAAGTATAACTGGAATTGGAGAGGTGATCTTTGCAGTTACCTCAATCAAGCAGAGCAGCTCCATCGTGTAGAAGAAGATCACGCCGCACACAAGCCAAGACGTCAGTTCGAACTCCGATGGATCTATCAGGCCAAGGCTGATGACGGCGGCCGTTCCACAAAAGCAGAAGAAGGCAGTGACAGCCCTGACGCTCAAGTCCGACAGTATGTCAGTGCTCCCATGCTGTGGGATGCCGTAGTGCGCAACCGGCGCGTAGAACGCAGCGGCGAGGATGAACTTCAATAAGCCAACCCAAGGGCTGCTTCTGGAGTGAGGTGAGCAGAAGGCTGCATGGAACATGAAGCTTTTGCCGACCCACATCACGTACCCGAGCACAGACAAACGGCCGAACCTGAAGACGACCGCTTCAGTTGCTTCGAAGGGCGAGAACATCCCAGAGAACTGATTCCCAAATATTCCTCGGGGTGCGTCACAGCTTTGTAGGGTTTTGGTCCTTTAAGCCTTTTGGGGCTCGGCTCAACGGAGTGAGGAAGCTTCTGCAGCTCATAGAATCGAGCTTTCAGCTTCGCGGCATCAGGTTCCCAGGGCCAACTTAAAATTAGGCTTCTCAATGTAGGAACCTGATTAAGAAACCTTGGGCCTTTATTAGGGTGCCTGATATGAATCCTACTATTTTGGGGGTTATGGGCCCAGGGTTTCTTAATCAGGTTCCTACATTAGCTTTATCAGAATACGGCTGTGAGGAACATGAATGAGTATTCGTCCACAGGGGCGACACGGAAAGTATAGTCATGTAGCGACTACATAAGAGCAGATTACTACTTGTTGTACGGGCACTTTACCCCCAAAGAAGCATCTACTTGCTTGGCGAAATTTCGTCGCCTCCAGCACCGGGCGCCGAGGCCTTCACGGCAGCGAGCTTTTCGGCTTAAGGCTCATGCCTAGCTCTTCGAGATCTACGGCTGTTGTTTCAAGCGGGTCATGAGGGTTTGGGGCTTTGAAGTCCTCGACGAGGATTTGTTGATAAACTTTTCTGCATGATCTGCGGGGCTTCGGAGCTTTGCAGGGCACGGCCGTTAAATGCGAACGCCACCGCGCCTCAGTGCAATACAGGTCGCTGGCTGAAGTTGCGGGGCACTGACTTCTCAAGTGTTTAATTAGAGAAGAGGGATAATCTAGGTCATTCGGGCACAGGTTTAGGGTTTAGGGCAGTACTTGCAGAACAGCTACTGTCAAACCGGTTGAAGCAAAGCCCTTTCAGAAGATGAGTAATATAGGGGCCTAAACAATGAGAATAGGGTTTCGGGGTAGATTATTCTATATTTATAATAGGGAACCCCCTCAATAGTTTTGGCAATTATTGAGGCCCCAATAGTACGCCAATATTCGCCCTCAGCGCAAGTCTCCCTGCCTCCTGCGGTGGTCGTGAACCGGAGGGAGCCACACCAACCTCGCACGAGACCCTACTCTAGGGGCCTTAACAATTAGAATAGGGTTCCTTTGAAGGAGTCTACAAGGGCTACTACAAGGGATCTATAAGGGTACTATCATATAGGGGCCTTAAGAATTTGAATAGGGTTTTGGGGCCCATTATACTATAACTATAATAATAAGGAACCCCCAAAATAGGAGAGGGAATTATTTAGGCCCCTATATTGCATAGCCCTTGGACTTGGGTAGTTACTTGGACCCGGTCGAAGGGGTGCTTGAAACTGGGGTGTCTATTTTCGTCGGTGCCGGGGCTGGGTAATGGTTGACAGTACAGTCATCGGCTAGGGTTTAGCCTTTGGCTGGCTTACTGTTTGTAGGGTTGCGGGAAGTGCTACTGCTACAGACTTCCGCACCTCGGGGATTTGTTGCATCAGCCGTTCCTCGCACCGAAAAATGTTAAGCCTTAACATGCTTAACCTTTGAGGGTTTCGGGTTCAGGCACTGAAGCCTTTCCAAGCCTCGCTCCCCGCCATTTTCGAAGCTGGATATCAGATTTGGCATGTAGGGTTTAGGGCCCGGAAATCCTAAACTTAAAGTCCCTTTAAATTGCCTCTGCGCACGAACTGCGAAATCCTCCAAAAAGGGTTGCTGCGCCATGACTTGGCGTTGGATATCTGGCGGCGAGCCTAGTGCATGCACAACTTCACGGCTTCACGCTCTGCCATGGCCGATGGCCCAGTGCTGAATCGGGATCGACGGCGCAGGAAATGCTCTTGAGCTTCATGGTGCATGGTGATGTTTCACTCTCCTCGAAGAGCTTCTTCGGCTCGGTGGTTCAGCCAGTTGCAGTACACGAATGGGCTTCGGACATGCCAACTCCAATGTCCAGCCATCACGCAGCAGCCGCAGCCGCCCTTCCAATGAAGCATCTCCTAAACCAAGCCCCAAACCCTCGACCCTGCAAACTGCAACACCAAATTGCTACATCCTGTGCTCTTCAACGCGCATTCCGGTATCCTAAGCCAGCGAACCCCGAAACCCAAATACCTTAAAACCAAAGGCCCCAAACCCTGAAAGTTTAAAACCATGAGACTCGGAGAACCGGAAGCCGCACTCGGACTGAACTGAAAGCCTCATTTTCAATCACCGGGTTCCGGACAGCAATACCTTTGCCCTCCACGTCCTCGCCCACCTCTCCTGTCTAGTCTTTGTTTTAGGGCCATGGGCTGCTACGGTGCGGGACGGCACAGAGAGGTTCTGAATGTACCCTGAACCATGAAGTAGGGGCTTGTCCATCTCCCTGGCAGGTACATGAGACGGCATGGTTTGGGGTAGAGTGAGTAGTGCTACACATGCAGTATAGACTTCAGGGTAAAGATGGGTAAAGGGCTTCCGTGCGAAGAAGAGCAGTATGTGCAAGTGCTCTTCTACGAAATAGTGTGTCTCTTTAACATACCTGGAGGCTCATACACTACCCCTTTTTAGGGCACCTAGTTTTTAGGATAACAGATCCTAACCATAAATGTAGGGTATCAGCTTCTAACATAAACTCCTGTGACGTCAGGTAGCACATTCCGAACCCGATCATAGCACGCCTTGGACTAGTAAAGCTGTTGCCGTTGCTGCTGCTGTTGCTGCTGCTACTACTACTACTACTACTACTACTACTACCACTACCACTACTACTACTACTACTACTACTACTACTACTACTACTACTACTACTACTACTACTACTACTACTACTACTACTACTGCTACTTCTACTACTACTACTACTACTAATAACAATAACAAGAACAATAATAATAATCAAAATACTAATAATAACAATAATCAAAATACAAATACTAAGAATACTAACACTAATACTAATCCGAATGCTAATGCCAATGCCAGTGCCAATTGCCAATGCCACTAGTACTGCGTAGTAGGCAGCAACGAGGCTTGCGGCTTTCAGGCACAACCCCAACCCCAAAGCCGTGTGAACTTACCTACACCCTCGAACTACCCTCTACTTTCCACACCCCCCCGTCAGTACTCGTGATCAACATAAGGGCTTTAGGGCTCTGACTAAGGGTCCTTGGGGGTCCATTGTGGTTCCTAGGCCATGCGGCAGAAGTAAGCCGGCCTTCGTGAGCTTCTGCGCCGGTCGCGGCAGCACCAGCGCCATCGGCAGCCTGGGTGCAACGCATGCATAGATGTAGAAATTATCCATCTATCTATCTATCCATCTATCTATCTGTCTCTCTCTGCATGTATATATATATACACATATACATATACATACATATGTATGTATGTATGTAAATAAATGAAGATAGATATATATATGTATATATGTGTAGATCTATGTGTATATGTATATATACGTACATATTTACATGTATTTATATATTTTTATGTGTGTGTATATATATATATATACATACATACATACATACATACATATATAATGTATGGGCCTATATAATTATGTGCAAATGTATATGTCTAATATGTATATGTATATGTATGTGTATACGTGTCTGTGCATGTGTATGTAAATGTATATGTACACACGCTCCCCATGTAGATGTGGAAAGTATGAGTGCTTTACATGCGGAACCCCAAACCCAGCAATCGCCTCTGCATCGCCGCCAGCAGTCGGTGCAGCTTGTATAGGCCGGTTCAGCAACTCCGTACCTCGAAAACAGCTTCGGGTTCCCTAAACCCTTAACCCTACATATGGGTAGTTGTCAAAATCAGGGTCCCTTTTTGGGTACCGTAAGTATTAGGTGCCGTATTACAATAAGGACCCAAAAAGGGACCCTAATTTTTGACAACCGCCCATATGGCATCTTTAAAGGAGGGTGGGGGGCAAGGTGGAAATATGATGCAACCTGACAACATGAATGTGCGGGATTTGGGGTTTTGGGTTTAGGGTTCGGGTGCGCTGTCTAGGGTTACATGTGCTCATACAGTATACACTTAGGCCTCGAAGGGGATGTTGTATAGGTACTTTAGGGTCTAAGTGTATACTATCTGGGTACATACAGCCTCAGGGCTTCGGCTGGGGATGTGTGGGTTTGGGGATTAGGGGTTTGAAGGGTTGTCGGGGAATGTGGCCTTCAGCACCAAGGTTACGGGTCACTACAGTGTTTCGGGGTATGTATTGAAAATTCAACGTTTGCCTTCGTTAAGGACATGCCGCGGGGTGTGACGGCTCACGCGAAGTATGCACCGAGGAGCAACCCCACTCGTTTTACGGCCCCTGAAAGTGATACATTTTCAATCACAGTTCAAGACCAAAGAATCCTGGGGACTGTTCAAAAACGGAAACCCTGAATCAAGGCCCATAATCCTTGTCGGACCGCTTCGCGAATCCGTACTTAACCACTCTATGGAACGCGGCCCCTCTGTCAATTCTTACAGGAACCCTAGACACCACGAGCCCTTTACAGGAACCTTTAACAGTCTAACTCTTAAAGGAACCCTCATGAAGCCCCGAAACCCCTGTACCCCTAAACCCCATAGGACCCCAGGCCCCGTATAGGAACCCTTAACAATCTTAAATGATCTCATGAAGCCCCCTATAACCCTCTAGCCCAGGCCCCGACGGAGATCTTGATACAACTTTCGGAAGCAAGTGAAGGACTCGTAGACCATGCGTAGACCTAGAGTGCTTTCGATGAGTCTATGGGTCGAGGAGTTGGGTAGCTTTTCGGGAGAGAGGGGTTGTGCAGCTGGTTTGCTTGCTTGGATGCCTGAGAAGCCCCGCAAGCCAACAAGTTTCCTGTCAAAGGCCGGGTCTTGAAAGGATCCATAACTTAGGGGCTGAATACCCCTGTCCTTGAAAGGTTAACTTTAGTTCAATTATGGCAGTTTCACATAAACCCCAAAAGGTCATTTTTAAAGGTTACTGTACCTAGTCAGCGAAGCTACTAAGCTAAGCTAAGCATGATGCCGACTGATCGGGGCAGGGCAGAGCCTGTTTAACTTCCTCCCCCAATAAGCCACGGAAAGAAAAGGTCACGCTTTCTGATTCCTACTAGACTATAAGAACACGAAAAGGTATGGGGGATCTAAGCTGTTTACTCTCTTCTTCAACTACCGGGCCCGAAAAAGTTCAAACTTTCTAGGATGGAGCAAATATATAAGGCCAAAAAGTTTAAAGTTCCCCCGTTCACTATCTAAGTTTAAGAAACCCGCAAGCTTGAGCTGAAGCCCCCAACTCGATTCGATCTTTGTCAATCGAACAGAATATGAGTACAATTACTATTTCTTCAGACTCCATAAGCAATCGGGTCGAGTACTCTATGAAGAATCGAGGATTCGTTCATCAGCTTGCCTACAAGATTGCTTGTCCATGACTGCTTCCCGCATCGCGGGGTGTGAAATCCCAAACGCTTCAAGAGCTACCGCGTACTTCAATACAATAGGGTGCAGCGTTGGGGTTTGTGATTCTCAAGTTTGGATTAGAAAGAGGGACGGTGAAGCTTCAGGCACCAAGATTCAAATCCAAAACACTTCTCGCATGCTGCTTCGCATCAATAGTCTTGTGGAAAGTGGTGGTTGGTTTAGCGTTTGGGGTTCAAGGTTTGGGCCATTCAGGCACCCTTGAGTATGACTGAGTATGGCACCCCCTAAATGAAAGGAGTTCCCATGGTGCAACAACGTGTGTGTCTTCCTTCCTGTTTCCTGCGTCGTCATCTTCTTTTGCTACTACGGACTGCTGAAGGTGCGGCTTTTCTTGCCTTGAAGACTGATCAAAATGGCAACGGCCGTTCGTATGATGATAACCCTGAGCCCTACCATACTTTGACAGGGCCGGCGAGCACAAGGGTTCAGGTCTCAATATCGCTTTCTCATTTGGTGTGCTGCTGCCGACGTTGCCTTATGTAACCTAAAGTGCATGTACATTAGCCTTGCTTCTTGAAGGTACCTTGGCTTTCATATGTCATACAGGAGTTCCTTGTTCGAGGATATCCTATGAACATTTCAATCAATTTTAAGCAACAGGGGTTTATGGCTTAGTTTGGGCTCGAAAGTGGACGCCCAGATCCGGAACACGAACCCCCTAACCCAGAAAGACCTGGTCCTCGACCCAGATCAGGCGTTATGATGGAAGCTCCAGTCTGGTCTTACCCGAACGGGCCAAAGGACCCAATAATTTGGTTGTCGGTTTTAGGATAGTAGTTATGTAGGTTACTATGTTGGAGAGTATATGAGAATTAGGTAGTTGGACCCTTAGGGTTAGGGTTTGGAGCGATGAGTTTAGGATGTCATCTTGAGGATCACGGCTCGGAGGCTTCCGGTGTCGTGATATAGCCTACTTGGAGGATCATGGGACTTAGTAAGTACGGTTATAAGTACCTCAATCGGGGTTATAAGTAATCATAAGTATAGTTACCCTGATAACAGCCTTAGTTACTAAGTCCCATGATCCTTTAAGTAAGCCCTGGCCCTTGTTGCTTGCGAGGAGCTGGAAACTTCGATTTCCTGCACTTCCCCCTCCAGATACATCTGCACCTGCGACCGTAACCGACTGATTCTCTAAGGTGCCCCGTGCCCGAAGAGTATATACTAAGGACACTACAGGCCTTAAAGTACCTATGTGTGAACCGCCTTAAGGCTTTAAGAGTATACTAGATGGGTACATGGAGCCTGAGGGACTGTGGCGGGGCCGGGCGTCCGTCAGGCTGCTACTATAGGGGCCTTGATAATTAGAATAGGGTTTGGGGCTCATTATACTATATCTATAATAAGGAGCCCCCAAAATAGTATTAGTATTCATTTTCCGTCAGGCCTTGGGGCACGCTCAGGACCAAAGACTGTAATTAGCACCTGCCGAAGCTTTTGGGTCCTGATCGCAAATTTGAATCACCTGAACCCCAAAGGTCCAAGTATCCAATAATCATACACTCTCCAAAATCCTAACCTACATAACTACTATCCTAAAGCCGAGTACCTGATTATTGGGTCCTTTGGATCCTTGGGGGAAGGAATGAAGCCAAGAAATCACGGGTCGAGGAGAGAACCTACGCCACGATACAGACGTGCGAGGTTTGCCTGCCTGAGGTTGGCCAGCAGGATCTGCTCAAACTCTCTGCCGTGCTGTGTGGACGCATCCGCCGTCAAGGAGCGGCAAACACCTCCTTCGCCGCTGCTGGCGGGCAACACCGCCGTCAAGCAGCAGCTCCCAGCGGGAAATCGTGCTGGCGTGGTGTATGCAAAGCCTGCAAGAGTCTATGAAAGGGGAATGCAAAAACTTCTGGCAAGATCATCGCCGCTGCCTCCGGAGAAGCCGTCACATCGCCCGATTGCGCTCCATGCTAGTCTGGTCGGGCTTCCTGGCGGGCTTGTTGGCCGTTTTACGCCTCATCGCCACCAGCAACCGGCAGTGGAACAAATCGCGGGAGGCGTCGTCCTCCTCTTCGCGGAGCCATGTCTTGCAGCCTTTTTCTACGGCGGCCCCCTGCTTCTGTCGTAAGGACTTACTTGGAGGATCATGGGACTTAGTATATCACTGTGAAGGACAGATGAAACAAGCCCAACACGAAGCACCAAAGCGACACGACTCGGACTTCTTACTCTGATATCGTCAGGGTTCATGTTTGAACGCAGGGATCGAGGCTTCTGGGTTAGTGTAGCGATCAAGAAGGGCTCGATCTATGAAGACATGTTGAAGCACTCTACAGTGTAGGGTTTAGGGTTTAGGGTTTAGGGTTGAAGTTCATGCTGTGTATGCGAAGTTCTGCACATGCGTGTAGATGTTGATATGGATACACACGCATACCTAGTATGGACGCCCATAGCAACCTCAGCGAAAGCAGGTTCTCGACAGAGGCTCGCACACTGAACTTGAAACGTGCAACCCTGTACCTCACAGCCTGAACTCCGAAACCCGAAACTTCAGCTGAAACCTAAGAACCCCTGTAGAACCCTTATCGAACCCAAACACTAGGACCCCTGGAAGGAAGACGTAGAGAACCAATTGAGCGCCTTGGTTTCGAGCTCCTTCTGCTCATCAGGTGAGTACTCCTCCGGTTGATGATATAAATCCTGCATGACCCATGATAAAGAATATACCATAATTCCCATAGTTTAGGGTCCTTAGGGTAATGCAGGATTTATACCATCCACCGTCCCGGTGTCGAGGCTTCACAGTGTGGAGCTTTAGGGGCTTTTTGGGCTTTCACCCTAGGGTTTAGGGTTTAGGGTTTCTTCGGGTCCATGTGCCTACAAAGTATACAATTCAGGATTGCCAGGGGGATAAAAGGCTAATCTTTCTGATGCCTACTAAACTATAAGAACCCGAAAAGATTAAAGGGTGGGTATTGGGATCTAAGTTTAGGCCCAAAGTACCTGCATAGGGACAAATTACTTGAAAAAACAAAGTCTATACTACATGGGTACATGAACTCTCATAATAAGCGTTCCTGAACCCTAAACCCCTCAAGTGGTTGCTTCGGGACAGTCCGCAATAGATGCATGCATAAACCCTAAACCCCGAACCCCGGATTTTGGGGGCTTTGGGCTTTGGTTTCTCATCTCAACGGCGTCCTCGTACTGCACCCGACTTCTACCGGCCAAGGTGTCATGCATCGCCAGCTCCTTCAATGCGATGGAGACAGGGGTGGCGGTTTTGGGTTTTGAGGCTTCAGGGTTTAGGGTTTCGGGGTTGCGTGGGGTTGCGTGTTTAAGGTAAAGCTGTTTTGGGTGTTGGGGTTGGGGAGGCCTTTTTAGTAGTAGGTAGTAGGCAGTACGTATTATCTTGAAGCCTCTACACGCAGTTGACCATGCTCCGCAAGTCTGAAACCTTCCGAGTGAAGCCCCTGACCCGAGCGCCAAAGCCTCAAGCCGAAACCCTACACCTTGCAATGCCAGAACTCTTCCAAAGCTCAAAGAATATCAAACCCGCTGCATACCCTAATGCTCCTGGACCCTCGTAGCGAGATCCTAAACCTTAGCCCCCAAAGCCCAAACGCTCGCCCACAAAGCCCCTAAGCCTATTAGGAGCCTTAGGGTAGTACACTCAAAAACCCTGACCCTGAACCCAACCCCGACGAGTCCCTAAACTTCCGTAAACTCGTTTGGGGCTTCGGTGCCTGTCCGAGAGTATTCCAAACAATCGACCCGGGGATCTCCCAAAACGGACACTGAAGTGAAAGGCTGTAAAGTGTAGGGGTCTTCATAATTGCATACTATACTATAGTCATAATGGGGAACCCCCCCGCGCACAATACTACTGGTAGTTATTTAGACCCTATAGTAGGGCTAAACCCCTATTATAGAACCCTGATAGGAACCCTTAAAGGATCCCTATTTGGGTACATGGACCGTAGGGGCTATTGTAATCTTGGCTGACTTCTGAACCCTTCCTAAAAGCTAAACTTTTAGCCTCCTTATTATGGCTCATATAGAAACCCCAAAAGTTAAAGTCTAAAGAGCCAACCAGAAGAACGCCAAGTAATGGTAGGGTTTGAGGGTGCTGGCCTGTTTGAGGTCCTTGATCTGGCGCTCGTATTTCCTGCGGCTGGAGTCGTCGTGAGGGCTTCGTACTGAGGCTGATGACAAGGATCCTAGGGTTCCTTTAAAGGGATCTATAAGGGTACTTTGAAGGGGTTCCTTTTGAGGGATCTATAGGGTTTCAGGGGTTAGGGTTTGGATGTAAATCCTACATTACCCTAATGACCCCTAGACTATGGGAGTAATGATCTATTCCGCGTATTATGGATTATGCATCATGACCCCAGACTATGGTAATTATGGTCTATTCCTGCTTATAGATTATGCAGGATTTACCTAGAGGGTCATACCCTACCCCTTTTTTAGGGTACCTAGTTTTATGGTTAGGTTCTCTTATATTATAGAAAAGTAGGTCCTAAAAAAGGCGTAGGGTATGACCCTGTAGGTATATCATCAGCCGTAGGGCTCCGGGAGCTCATAGAATAACAACTTTGGTTTTGGTCCTTGATTCGCCGTTCCGGAGGCCTGAAAACTTGAAGCCCTAAACGGCGGTTTAGGGTTTAGGGTTTAGAGCCCTAAACCCTAAACCCTAACCGTTGAAAAAAATAAACAGGTGGCGAGCAAGCGACATAGCTGCCTGCATGTGCGAAAGCAGTTTAAGGCCTAGGCTTCACGGCAAAATGCCTCGGGGTAATCTTCACGAAGACGAAGAGGTTTTCTTATGACTTTCTCACGCTATTCGTCACTCGGGCCGAAATCCTGAACCGTAGTCACGATCCGACAACATTGGGCAAATTAAACTATCTACGAATGAAAAACTACGGATCGCATAGCTTGAGGAGGAAATCTGGCAAACCTGACACCCTGAAACCCTAAGCCCTGAATCCTACGGTTGATGATATAAATCCTGCATTACCCATATTAAGGAATCTGCCATAATTCCCATAGTTTAGGGGTCCTTAAGGTAACGCAGGGCTTATATACCATCCACCGTATTATAAACCTCGCAGAATACACACTTTTCGAAGACGGTGGGTTTAGGATTTAGGGTTTAGGGTTTAGGGTTTAGGGTTTAGGGTTTAGGGTTCCGGGAATAGCATGCAAGCTGTAGTTACACGATTCAAGGCTCTTGATCTAACAGCTGGGTTTAAGATGTAGGGTTAGGGCTTCAAGAGCAAGGGAACGAGCTCTTCCCGTTGCCTAGGTATGAAGATCTCTTGAAGCCCCGAACCGATCAAAAACCTAAACCCCTAAATCAAGCCCCCCAACCCAGAACCCTAGACTCCCTACCCCAAACTCCCTAAACCCCAACCCCTAAACCCCACTCCTACACCCCAAACACTATACCCCAAAGCTAAACAACCACCACCCCCTGGCCTTATCAGAAGCTGCGAACCCCACTCCTAAACCCCAAAGCTAAACACCCAACCCCCCTGGCCTTATCAGAAGCTGCGGGTCTAGATGCACGTTGACCGAGGCTTCATTGGAAACCTCTCCCAAGAGCATGGCTCAAACGTTTCGGGTTCAGGAGGGATTTAAGGTTCAAAGGTTTGGGGGTAGGGTTTAGGGTTCAAAGGTTTAGGGTTTAGGGCTCAAATGTTTAGGGTTCAGGAGGGAGCACGGTTTAGCTTTAAACGGTAGTAATAGTTCCTTAAAGGGATCTATAGGGCTCCTTAAAGGGATCTATAGGGGTTCCTCATAATGGGATCTATAGGGGTAGTCTTACCTTTGGTTAGTAGGGAATGGAAGAATGGTGGTAGTAGTAGTAGTAGTAGTAGTAGTAGTAGCAGTAGTAGTAGTAGTAGTAGTAGTAGTAGTAGTAGTAGTAGTAGTAGTAGTAGTAGTAATAGTAGTAGTTATAATTGTACCCCCATTTCTCCATACCCTACTAACCCAAGGTAAGTTTAAGGTATTCGCCTGGTGCGGCCTCCATTAAGGGTGCCTTGGGGCCTCCTGAATTCTTGTGGGCTAACATCCCGGGTCGCAGTCGCACTCGGTGCATCAGGTTCTACGGGAGGCTGATGCCATATAGTGGCTGCATTCATGACGGTGGTTATGTGATTCTGACCCGCAATCCTATAGAAGACTTGCACTTAACCTGCCGACCAGCCCCTCAGTGGCACGCACAAAGGTAGAGCGGAACCTTGTAAACCAAACATTCGGGTTCGGGACCCTGAACTACAGAGCTTCCTACACTATAAACCCTCCAACCCCAACCCTAACCCTAACCCCTAACCCCTAAACCCTAACCCCAATCCCTAAATCTTAAATAACGAAACCGCAGCCCCAATCTCTAAACCCTAAACACTAACTTACTAAACACTATTCCCGATCTCGAAAACCTTTACCCTGCGGCTCCAAGTATACAAATAGTACCTACTTTGGGGGCTAAAGTCTGTAAGTAGTACCTACTTTGAGCGATTTATGGGAGTTTCCGAAAATAGGGGACCCTAATATATATATATATATATATATATATATATATATATATATATATATATACATAATAGTACCCTAAATAGTAGGATCCTTCTTATAAGGACCTAAAATATATATAATAGTACCCCTAAATAGTAGGATCCCTATTATAAGGACCCCAAAATACGGTACCCCTCATTTTCGGAAACCCCCAATTTGGAGCCCCAGGGTTCCCACAGACCACCCTGCAAGCAGCAGGCCTCAGGGGGATCTTTTAGGGACCCAGAAAAGGACCTAAACAAAAACGGTTTAGGGTTTAGGGTTTAGGGAAGGCTGGGATATCCCAGAATCCCCTCTTTAATTAAGACAAGAAGATAGGGATATCCCACCCGAAAGTTTATGTTTGGGTGCTTCTTTGGCTCCTGATCTTTGGAGCTCGTAGTTTTAGGATTCTCGGACAGAGAAACAAGCGACTCTCTTGAGAGCCGGAGAGAATTTAGGATTTAGGAGGGTTTAGGATTTAGGGTTTAGAATTTAGGAGGGTTTAGGATTTAGGAGGGTTTGGAATTTAGGGTTTAGGATTTGAGGTCTAAGGGCCTGACGCAACTCAACCTCCTTCAACGCGTTCAATACCCAAAGCCCGAATTTAAAATGTACTTTCACCAAATCCCAGCTCTGACTCCAAAAACCCCAAGCCGTAACCGAAAGCCGCCGAACTCTGCGCGGAATTTGCAGAAAACGGGCGCCCCTTACATAGTCTCCTGATATGTTCCTGTCGAGCGATCTCTTTGCACGAGTTTCAACTAAAAACAAAAAATACCCTGAACCCTATATACCCTTAACCCTAAACCCTTAACAATAAACCCTGAACCCTAAGCCCTGAACCCTAAACCTTTAACCATAAAACGAACCACAGCTGCAAAGCAATCCCTGGCCAGGCCTTCATCATCCGAGTCGCAAAGCGCAGTGTGCTCGCGGTCTCTTCAAGCATCTTGGCCTCTCATGTCGGCTTAGGTGGGATTTCATGGTTATATAGTTATGAGTGGGGTCATAACTAGCATAGCTACAATAGATATACCCCATACCAAGGAACTTACAAGCCCACTTACAACTACCCATGAACCTCTTGGCCTCTCATGTCGCCTTAGTTGGAAAGTCATGGTTATATACCTTAACCTAGCAAAACCTGCTTTTTTTTGTATGGCCCTTATAAGTTTCAGATTAGGGTTTATATTAAGAACCTAAAATAAAGTAGGGTTTGGTACGTTAAGGTACTTATAAGTGGGGTCATAACTAGCAGCTAGCATAACTGTACGAGAAATAACCCATACCAGGGGACTTCGGAAAAGGTAGGCGGCACAGCACCCGAAGGTGCTTTCCCAATCAGCTTGCTGTTCCACATCACAATCTTGTCTCCAACCAGCCTCATGTAGGAACCTGATTCAGAAACCTTGGGCCTTCATTCGGGTTCCTAATATGAATCCTTCTAGTTTGGGGTTATAGGCCCAGGGTTTCTTAATCAGGTTCCTACATTAACCGACGACGCTCAGCCGGTACACACTGGCCCAAAACCCAGGGGAAAAAAGGTTGAAACTTTCAGAATCGACTACCTTATAAGAACCCCCAAAGTTGAAAAGTTTAGGTTACAGCCAATAAGACAGCCTATCAAATTCCCCCAGCCTATCCTCTGACTCCTTGTGTCAATCTATTTCATAGGGACCCTTGGGGGGGTAGGGGGACGGGGGGGTAGGGGGCCTTGATGCGCATAATAAGGACCTCAGGAAGTATAGTCCCCTACCCCCGTCCACCCCACCCCCCTAAGGGTCCCTGTGATTGTTGAAACTTGGGAAACCTGTAACTATGTCGAAACATTGCATGAGCCTCAACTATGGATCCCAAGCCCCCGCCAGTCCGACACCATATGAACTCCAAAGCCCGAAACACACACAAAACCCTGTCTACGGTGGATGATATAAATCCTGCATCACCTTAAGGACACTAAACTAGTCCTTATTATGTGTAATGCAGGATTTATATCATCAACCGTATCACCCTGGACAAAAAGTACAGAATCTGAACCCTTATCAAGCCCCAAACTGCAAGGCACCTCAGGCCAAATGTTGGCAACCATCACTGTCTTGCAGTTTCCTCCTAGCGAGTCCTCGAAGAAACGAGTTTCCGGTATCTTGCAATGGTTGCTTCGGCCCAGGCGTTCAGGTGTTTAGAAATCGAGATCTGAAGTATCGAGATCGGAGGCTGCAGGATTTAACTCGTGATGTTGAGGTCTTGGGAAATTTGGGTTTTGCGGCCCAGCCGCTCCTCCCCCACAAGGTGAGTGCGTGCACATTGGTTCTAGGTTTTGGTAGGATTTGGTGGTTAGGGTCTACAGTAGAAGCCCAAAAGTTATAAAACCCGTAGCCTCGATCCTTAAGAGTAACGCAGAGGGAATCCCAGCACTATTTGGCCTTAGTCCGGTTTCCAAGTTTATGGGATTTACTGTAGGGAGCTTGCACTTTAAGGTTGCTTGGCCGGTCTCAATGTAAGCCAACAATAACTCAGGACAAGTATGGACAAGTCGTGTTTCGGGCAGGCTCCGACTTGCCCTTGCCCTGCACGGTCAATCTTCAAGATCTCTATGAATTACTAGAGCGGCTGCGTTTTGCTGGCGTATCCGGCTTTGTTGTAGTATAAACACAGAAGGACCGTGAAGCATGTTCTAGTTCTAGTACGGGATATGAAACTTAGGATTTAGGGCCCAGGTCTACGGATTCAGGACTGACGTGGCAGACTGGGGCGGAAGCAACCCGAAACAAGTCCTTGAGCATGTGAGTCAGCTTCGATTGCCGATACCTGGACTGCTTTAGGGCTTAAGGTTCTGGGCTTACGGTTCTGATTCCGGGCCCTGAACCCTAAGCCCTAAACTCTACATCACACCTCGAAAATTCGAAACACCCCAAAATCCGAAACCCGATGTTGTAGCCTGTAAATCTGCCAGGAACCCCCGGACACGAAAAAGCCAACAACAGCCCAAAGCACTAAGGTGGAGACTTGAGCCACGGTTTAGGGTTTAGGGTTTTTCTTGGATGGATGTTTTGACTGTTGGAGCTTCGCGGGTTTGTAAGCTTGGGAGCTTCGTAGCGCTACACAGCTTACTCCGGAAATCCTCTATCAGCTCTTGACAACGGTGAAGCAGCAGTTTTAAAACAAACACCTGAAAACAAAAAGTCAAACCCCACACTTTTTAAACAAACACCTCAAAACGACCAAAAAGTCAAACCCTAGACTTCGAACCGCAAACCCCGCCTCCAAAAAGCCCCCCCCCCCCTGCGAAACCCCATGCCCTCAGCTGGTGATGCATTTTTTCAGCGACCATGGGACCATTGGCATCAAGAGCCGCCACACTGGAAACACATACTTGAAGGACCATGGGACTTAGTAACTAAGCTATACTTATAACTACTTATAACCCCAATGGAGCTTAGGGATCTATAGGGGTTCCTTAAAGGGATCTATAGGGTTTAGGGTTTAGGGTCTACTTAAAGGCTCATGGGACTTAGTAACTAAGGTTACTATTAGGGTAACTATACTTATAACTACTTATAACCCCAATTAAGATACTTATAACCATACTTACTAAGTCCCATGATCCTCCAAGTACCCTAAATAATCAGAGCATTCTCAACAGCCTCAAAATTACAGCGCCATACGTAGCTGACATGGGCTTGGAGGCTTACTTGCTGAATTGCTGTCGAAATCCGGAAATCACAGGTAGACCCGAATATACACATGAAACCAAGAAAGCAAACCAACTCTTTCCTTCTTTTTCCAATCACCCCGCACTCTAAACCCCACATACCTTGAACCCCAAGCCAGAACTGGTGACCTCACCCCACCTTTGGGTAGGTCTCTAAAATCAGGGTCCCTTTTGAGGTTCCCGAAATACTACGGCACTCATGGAAAAAAAGGACCCTAAGAAGGGGCCCTGATTTCGAGAACTACCCGTAACTACTGATGTACGAATCACGATTAACTACATGGAAACCCATAAGCCGTAAAGGCTAAAACCTTTACACCGTCGATTTCTGCAAGCCGACAAGGAACAAGGGGTTTTCGGGGTTTGGGCTGTATAAACCTTAGGGCTAAACCCTCCCTCAACCCTTCTCTCTAAACATCCCTAAACCAAAGCCCTAAACGCTAAATCCCAAACCCTAAACCCTAAACTTGCAACCTGTCAGGGCGTGATGCGGGATGTGGTCTCGATGCTTGTTGCCGAGAGCCACGACCACCTGGCCACGCTTAAGCACCCCGACAAAGGTCGAGAGCTTAGTCTATGGTCGGCTTATGGTTTATGGTTTAGGCTTTAGGGGGTTTAGGGCTTAGGTTTTAAGGTTGAGGGGGTTTAGGGTTTAGGAGTTTAGGATTCTATGGGAATTGGGATCTCGGATTTAGGGATTTCTCTGGACACATGATTCACATGATACGGTTAGGGTCTAGGCCTGGGCATTTGTGTTACTCAGGTCGGTGACCTTAGCAAGCAAACCAGTCTTCGCCGTTGACTTCTGCTTTCTCCTGGTTCTACCTGAACCTGCAATAACCCCAATATTCGGGTGTATACCAAAACCTGGCAACGCTAAGTGCTAGTGGATCAATTTGCAAGTACGGTGCAACGTACAACCCGGTGCAAAATCTGGTGTTAGACCTAAGAGTAACCTAGGAATAAAAAGGATGCCCTTTTTGGTTTAAGGGGGCTAAAACGGGAATCTGAACCCTAACAAAGGGAATAAGGGCGTACTCAGGGCCCTACGGTGTTCATAGGTCAGCAATCGTCCCAGTTTGAGGCTTCTTTGGGGTTTAAGTGCGCCGCAGGGTGCAGAGACCAGAGTGCTGTCTAAACCGTAATACAAAGGCCTATACTATGGTGGGGGGGGTTCCTTACTATAGGTCAATATAATGGGCCCCCAAAACCCTATTCTGACTATTAAGGCCTGTATAGTAAGGGTTCTAAAGAGAAACTCCGAACATCCCCCACAGAAACAACGACGACAAACAACGAAAAGACAACAAGTGTTCAGGGTCACGGGCTATGTACCCAGGGGCCCCAAAGTAGTTCCTTTTTGGGTAGTATATTAGAGTCCCTAATCAAACAAGAGGACACACCCAAAAAGGAACTACTTTGGGGCCCTTGGGTAGATTAACCCTTCCTCCGGAAGCCTCACACACTGAATGCTGGACTCTAGCTGGTAGACCATCCTAAAAGATGTGGCCTGCTCCAAAAACGTCAGCGACTTGTTGATAAATGTCGCCTGCACTCGCAAGCTTCTTGGAACTGAAAAATCAAGTATCATGGAACCCTTAACCCTAAAACCTAACGAAACGCGCCCTATGCCATAGACACTGCGCCCCTGACCTATCGTCAAGACCAATAAGATGGGTTCAGCATTCTCGGTTGTTGGTCTATTTTGACATACAAGTACGGCTTAAAGTTCAGGGCTTAGGGGTTATAAATGACACTGACCTTGCGATTGTGTTCTGACGGCTTCAGGATATTGGGTTCGAGGCAACTTTGCATTGGCTACACCACCTCGGGCTCCAACCCATGCGTGGCACAAAATAGCCCAAAAGCCGTAGATTCCTTAGACCATATATTGGGCCCAAAAGCCTGAATATATGAGTCCTTAGAGCCTTATAAGGGTTTAGCAAAGTACGGCATGCATGCGTGGAAACCTTCAGCATGCGTTCCTTTCACCTGCAAGAGCGTACTACGTAAGAACACAAAACCCCAAAACCCGAAATCCTAGGTCGAAACCCGAAACCGTTACACGGTTTAGGGCTGCCCTCAGATCCAAAACCTTATAGGACCTAGAGACACTCTTCTACCTTTACTGAACCGAATCCCTTGCGGAACGCTGAGCCTAGATCACACAACCCGGAAGCTCTCAAACACTAGATACTGAAGCACACAACCCGGATGCTCCCAAATAGTAACCGCAACTAGGTTCCTGAGTATAGAGCCCCTTTATTTTAAGGGTATCCTTTTTCATAATATTCAGTTTACAACGGGAAATCTAAAATAAAAAAGGGTACCGCCGCAAGCAGAACCGCACGTTGGAAAGTCCAATGGCCTCCTTCAGCATCACACCATCCGAGCCGGTCCTTGCGATGGGACATATTGGCACACTGTAGGGGCCTCAATTATAATTGGAATAGGGTTTTGGGGTATATTATACTATGATTATAATAAGGCCCCCCCCAACAAAAAAAACAGGTGTTTACTACGGCCTTTAGATGGGCCCCTAAAGCCTGAACCCTAAATGCTAAACCCAATGCCACTATACCTGAAACACTTCAGTGGCGGCAAACTCCTTCCCCAGACTCCTGGGAGGATCTAGAAAGTAGATCCCCCTAATTTGGAGCCCGATACTACTAACGGTACATTCTAGGAACCCCATTTAAGGAATCTACTTTCTCGATCCTCTCGGGGGTCTGGGTCAATGCGGAACGAAGGAAAGAGCCGAACCTCCTCCGTACACGGAGATCAGCCGCTTTCTTGGGTGGACTAACTTGGGGGCTCATGGGTACGGTTGATGATATAAATCCTGCATTACCTTAAGGACCCTAAACTATGGGAATTATTGTATTCCTATGGGTAATGCAGGATTAATATCATCAAACTTAGTTACCATAAGTGGGGCTATAAGTCTCCTAGTATAGGCTTTAACTACAGCCTACAGCTATCCTGCTGAGTAAGTATCTTGGTTGTAAGCTTAAACCCTCGACCGAAAAGTGCAGAAAGTCTCCGGTGACTTCGCATCCAATTCACTCATCTTTAGAAACCCTGTCACTTGAACAGGCTCGGCCTTTTTCCTGGTAACTAAGATACAAGCCTTCATGATTTGATTAATGCTGGGGTAGATTACTGTGCTAGGGGCGTAACAGGATGTCATTGCCAAGTACTGTACATTTTTCAGACCTATTTATGTTCCCATCTTTGTATTCATCTTGTGCTTGACATCCACCGCAGTCACTCGAACCTGATGGCTCGGAACTAGAGTCGAACTAGAGGACAGCTAAAGCAAAATCAGAGGACAAGATCGATCCGATGGTGCGTCGAGGGTCGTGGTGCTGTAAGCGCCTGAGCTCCCCTTCTCACCTCCATGTCGCCCAATTTCTAAACCTCGCAAAGCAAAGCTCGTAGCCATCCCGGCAGATACGTTAAGCCCGCACCTGAGCTCTAAATCCGGACCCCTGGTGCCCTAGGCCCCGTTTACACCCTAGTACCCTAGAATCAATAAACCCTGTGGCTCCATGTACCTCTGCGTACCTACATAAACACCATTCAGGGCCTGAGTATATACTACCCTAAGGCCCCATAGTAGTTCCTTTTGGGGGTTCGTATATAGAATCGCATTGGGTAATCCCCAAAAGGAACTACTATGGAGCCTATGGGTATATTCTAGGTACATGGGGGCCTTCCTTGAGGGAAAACATGCCCTAAACCTTCCCAAAGGGTCCTATGTACTGTTATGGGGAATACTTCCCTAAGTCATAATCATAATTCCTACTATGGAAACCCTACATTCTACTATATCGGTACATAGGACCGTTAGGGCTTCCAACCTTGGCCAGCAAAAGCAGAGGCTGGGACTTGAACTCCCTACATAGGAAAGGCTGAAAAAGCCTAAAGGGAACTCCAGAAAGTTGGAATATGGATTAATGGTAGGATCCCCTATAATTTACCTTAAAGGGTTTAGGATAATCATATTCCAACTTTCCGGCTTCTACTGTATATCCCAAGGGATCTAAGGACTCATATGTTGAGGCTTTGGGCGCAAAGACTATACTATATAAGGTTTTTGGGCTGTTTTGATGCCCAGGGTATACTATATTCAAAGTACATGCCGAGACCCCCAAAAAACTCTCTATTATACCCCAAATACCAACTATGAAGCGCCATCAAGGCTCTGTTGTGAGCCTTCCTTGGCCAGGTGAAGCCAGAAAACGCTGAGGCTTAGGCTTCTTGACTCGCTCGCTACCTGCCAAGTCCACTAAGTGCAGCTTGGAGAAGATCACCTGCACGGTGCTTGGGGTTTGGGGCTTAGGGTTTATAGGTTTAGGGTTTAGGGGTTTAGGTTTTACAGGTTTAGGGTATGCGCGTTTAGGGGTTTAGGGTTTAGGGTTCCGAGGGTTCACTGCCGAGGGCCTATCGGGCTTTTGGTCAGGGGCTTCCAGGATTTAGGGTTTAGGGTTTGGGGCTTCGAGGATTTAGGGTTTAGGGCTTCGAGGATTTAGGGTTTAGGGCTTCCAGGATTTAGGGTTTAGGGCTTAGGGTTTAGGATTTGGGGTTTAGGGTTTAGGGTTTAAGGTCAGGGGCTTCCAGGATTTAGGGCATTTGGGTCGGGCTGACTTGGCTGCATAAACTCCTCGAAAACCTTTGCTTTTGGAAGTTTGTTTCGGTTTACCTATAGTCTCCATGCCATCGTAGTTCCTTTGTTGGGTTCACCAAAATTATATAATTATAGGGTCCTAACCATAAGAATGATCAACCAAAACAGAGAACCACAGTGGAGACTATAGGTAGGGCTTCAGGGTCGGAACCCGCTTCCTGACCACCGGTTTAGGGTTTACCTTAATTAACACCAAACCCTACTTTTTTTGTAGGTTCTTATTATACACCTTAATATGGAATTTATAAGGACCCTACAAAAAAAGTAGGTTTTGGTAGGTTGAGGTAGGGTTCAGGGTGTGTACACAGTGCGCACGCGCGCGCAAGCGCGCGCGCGCGCGCGCGCGCGCGCGCGCGCGCGCGGGGGGGTGCGCTTCGTTAGGACTCTAGGAGCGGGCTACCCATAGGCCCCAAAGTAGTTCCTTTTTGGGATTACCTTATAGAATTCTAAAGATGAACCCTAAAAAGGAACTACTTTGGGGCCTTTGGGTAAACCCAAAACCTTGGTGATGACTGAACTAGCGAGTCCTGGTAAATCTTTGCGTGTCTGGGGGTCTCTTGGGCCTCGTTTCAACCTGCAGCGTGGCCTTCTCGCTGGACTCCACGCGCGACCTGCTCTCCACATAGATCGTAAAGACGACGTGGGAGCGCGTTGACCTTTTGGTTTGGTATAGGAAGCCTTCCACACCCCAAACCCTAAACCCTGATGTCTCAAGTTGTTGAGATCGAGGAACTCCTATATGCTCTCCATTGTAGTTCCTCGTTTGGATTACCATAAAGGATCCTAAAAATCAAACTGGTTAAGTTAAACCAAAGCAAGGAGCCAAAACGGAGACTGCAGGCAATATTAATTAGGGCTTAATGTGGGTGGCTGTCAAAATTATGGTCCCTTTTTGGGTACACTAAATATTAGGTGCCGCATTGTAATAAGGATCCAAAAAGGGACTCTGATATCGACAACCACCCATGTAAAGGCAGGGACGAGGACATCGAGGTTGGGGGGAAGGGCTAGCATGAATACAACTTGCAAGAGAGAAAGACCAGCAAAGCCTGTAGATGCCCATAGGCCATTTGAATGGTACACCATGAATCATGAAAGTACATCGAACACACCATGTGCGGGCAACAAGGGTCGGCAAACCCTGACCCTATGCCGGAAGATGTTGTAACTTTCGCAATACAGGCAAACCTATGTGACCTGTCCGCTAAGCGCAGAACCTGAAATTCCGGCTGCATTGCATTCAGTTCGTAATGTTCCCTTTCTTCGCATCTTGGTGTTTGAAGCGGAATGTGGGTTAGGGTTTGATCCATTTTGAACCAGGTGTTGCCTGTTGCTGGATGTATTTAGTTTCAAAGAAGAAGCCCTGGACCCTGAACCCTCAAGACTGCTTCTCCAACACTATGACCCCCTGAACCCTGCCATAAGCGAACCCAACATCCTCCTAAAGGGAACTCCAGAACGTTGGAATATGGTTTCAGGGTAGGATACCCTATAATTTACCATAAAGGGTTTAGGATAATCATATTCCAACTTTCTGGCTTTTACCTTAGAGTCTTCTCCAAGGGCTTCATGGCCCACGCGTGTAATCCAGAACGCTGCAGGAGCAAGTTGTTGGGTTCACCAGGAGGCCGTCAACCCCCAACCCCAAACCCTAACGCCCTAAACCCCTAAGCCCCACGCCCTGAACTATACCCCCCTTAGAACCATCACAAACATGTGATGTTAACTGTTCTCCTGGATTTTATATGAACGAAAATAAAAAATTATTCCTAGGGAGACTATAGTAAAGCCCCAAACCCCAACGCCTAAACCCCGACCCTACGGCGCAAAACTCTTGTAAGAATCCTCACTTGAGGGAACCCTTAAGAACATCACAAAACGCGTATGGGAGTTTTCCGACAATAGTGGGACCTGTTTATAGTACCCTAGATAGTAGGATCCTTATTATAAGGACCCAAGAAAAGGTACCCCTAATTTCGGAAACTCCCATACCCAGAGATCCCAATATTCCTTAATCCAGGAATATACCTTAAACCATAATATTAAAGCCCCTGTAATTTAAGGCATATTCCTTAATCAAGGGATATTGGCACCCCTGGGTATAATATCAACTCCTAAACAGCCATCCCGGAATCCTGGGCTCAGACCCCTTGTTCAGGGCATGCTCCGCGACGTGACGATTCGTGTCGCCCTGGAAGAAAATGTGCAGGGCCTGACTTCAATCAACGGGGAAAACGAGGGACCCTTAATGGGGACCCCTACCCTATGATGGGCTATATAATTGGTATATAATAGCTAGAGTACGGGCATATACTTAGGGGTCCTTAAAGGGTATACAATAGCTATATTAAGGCTATATACCTAGGGGTCCTTATTAAGGGTCCTTGGATTCAGCAAGAGGGCCCCGGGTCCCACGGCTTGGGGCGCTATCTAGGGGTCTGGGACAGCATTGAGGAACGCACATGGGTGGTTGTCAAAATTAGGGTTCCTTTTTGGGTACCCTATATAAGAGGTGCCGTACTAAAATAAGGACCCCAAAAAGGGACTTTAATTTTGACAACCACCCATATCATAGATAGAAGGATAGACAGATGGATAAACGCATCCCTAAGGAAATGGTAGTGCTCACTATTCAAGGCCCCATGCTATTTGACCTAAATATTTACTAATATTCACCTTCAGGGTGTGGAAGTTCACGCCAAAGCTGCTGCAAGTAGGCCGACTGCTTTGTTAGTGTGCAAGAACTGTGCCGTCGATTCCGTAAACTTCGGTGCAATAATGTGCAATAAAGCATAGTTGCACACCCGCAAGCTTGCGTTAGTGTTCTGTTTGACCGAACAACCTAAGCCCCACACTGTTCCTGCTCTTCTGGAGCCCTAAGCCTATGCTCAAAACACTCGACCATAACTTAACCCTCAAGGCCCCTCCGAAGGCTCGTAACCCTCAAGCCATGCTCTCTTCCTGCAAAGAAATCCCTATCATAGGGATCCTTAGGGGTGTAGGGGGAGGGGGGGTAGGGGGCCTTGAGGCCCATAGTAAGGACTAATAAGGCCTATTTAAGGAAATATAGTCCCCTACACCCCTCCCCCCTACACCCCTAAGGATCCCTATGACCCTAGCCAAAAGCTCGAAATCATCAAACGCCCAAAGTCTACAGGCCTCGATCCCCAGACCTGAATTCCTGGCTATCGGCCCTGCTCTTACCTTCGTAGGGAATAGGGCTCCTTTAAAGGGATCTATAGGGTTCCTTTAAAGGGATCTATAGGGGTTTAGGGTTCCTTTAAAGGGATCTTTACCTTTGGTTAGTAGGGAATGGAGGAATGGGGTACGATCATAACTACTATTACTACCATTCTTCCATTCCCTACTAACCAAAGGTACGTGCTTCGCCAAGCCGTAGTCTGCACATGCTTTGCTTTCGGAAGCCCTTCAGCCGAACTTCTTTACAGCCTACAAGTATATGGTCACCCTCAAATGCCAAAAACGCCAACTCCCAAGCTCTCAAGGCTTCGCTGAACCTACACAACCCTAAGGAGTCCCTCCAGAGAACCCAAATCGAGCCCCCCCAAAATGAGGTGGGGCCTCTTCTTCTGTCCCACCGACAGGGGTCGAGAGCCCGCGCACCTTCGGAAGGCTGAAGGGTGTGTTTAAGGGGCTCGGGGATGAAACTCTGTTTCTGATGGAGCTAGGACTTAGCAACATCCTCCGAACCCTTATCAGACATCCCAACACCCAAATCTCAGGCACGAATGCGTAGACTTAATAGCCCGAGACATGACGCTCGAAACCCTAAAAACCAAGCCAAAGACTTTAAACAGACTAAGAAAACACGCCGAAAGCACCCCAGACCTCAGACTCAAAACTTCATATGATAAGCCACAGGTTCTAAACAAACCCAAACCCTACATCCTAATCCCTAAACACTAATACCCCAAAACCCTAAACCCTAAACCCTAAAACAATTAAACGTCCCGAACCCAACCGGGGAACACCGAAGCCCTCAAGTTCTTTAACTACGCGGGATACATCCCGTTTGCAGGCTCCGTTTGCTTTTCTCAGTTTCGTAGCTTAGGGTCAAGAGGGTTGTAGGATTGATATTTAGGATCCTATTCTAGGATCCTAGAAGGTAGAGGGTTTAGGGTTTAGGGTCTAGGCGGCCGAGGGTGTCTGAAAATTCTGCGAAACGGGCGCCGAACAGAACGCGACTGTTAAACTGCAGATGTTGGCAGGCTCCTCGCTGTTGCTGACTGCGGAAGTATGCCTCAACCCAAAAATCAGCCCCACCTGTTGCCTCAAATCGTTCTCCAGACCTGACGATAACACTGACAAAGGCACAAGCAGATCAGCAAAGCTTATTTTTTGCACAACATCCCGGAAGCCACGAACACCAATGGGCCTTCCCATAAATGGGAGCCCGGGGTGGGGCAAAAAGGAATGTTCCCCTAAGGGTCCAAAGTACTCGGTTTTAGGATAGTAGTTATGCAGATTACTTGGAGACTATATGATAATTAGGTACTTGGACCCTTAAGGTTCTTATCCATGCTATGTTGACTCAAGCAAGCTAGTGCACTTGGAAACACGATACAACACGATTGCCCTGACAAACAAAGCTCCTGGTCATGCAACCCAAACATAATAGGATCCAGATAAAGACCCAAGGTTTCTCACTAATACAACTAACCCCAGACCCTCGACTTCCAGACCCTCATACCTTAGAAGGGGGCTCCCACCCTGTAATAGTGACTATAAGGATTATGTTAGGGCCCTATTATATTCCCATTATACCACTATTACAGAGTGGGGGCCCCTTCTAACTCATACCTGACTAGCAATATCTGGCCTGGATGTTGCCACGGGCATCCTCGACGATGGTAAGATCGCCGCTCTGCTCCGCCACCTGGAAAGCACGAGATCTTCAAGCCTGCCTTAAACTTAGTAGGGTCAAGGGCTTGCTGCAACGTAGGTTTCTTGTATATGATTATGGAAATGACAAAGACCCTGCAAAAGCGGGTAGGTTTTGGTAAATAAAGGAATGCCAGAACAGCGTCGAGGGAACTCAATGCTCCTAAGGGTCCTTGTGCGCGTTGAACTTAACTAACAGAGGCTCCTGTAAAGTGACTTGAGTGTCAATGTACACCTTAATTAAATTGCCACTACCCATTTGGTGTGGGTTCTTCTACATACCCGAGTATAGAATCTGTTGGGACCCTACAAACAAGCAGGTTTTGGTAGCTCGAGGTATATAACATCCCTTAGTATACGGGTTCTGCGCACACCCAAACACAAATTATGAACAAACCTAAACTCCTAAAGTCCTAAAACCCTATGTTGCAGCTGGGGGACGCCAACGTCAGTCAGCAGGTCGAACCTGGCAAAGAAACTACATAACGATAAACATGTAGCAATCGGCTCAGGGCCTTGAGAGGGAGAACAAAGCAATACCGGGTTTAAGCTTAGGATTTAGGGTCTAGGCATGCCAATTGCCTTTTTGTTAGAATGGGGTTTGGGGTTCTGCTATGGTATACTTTTGACTTTTGACAAGGAACCCAAAAGAATAACATTAACGACTACTCGCGCCTCGGGCCTACTCGGGCCTTTAATATAAATCGATAAACAGTGCGATCCCCAGTAACCCAGGAGTAAAAAGGGCTCCTGCTTTTGATGCTAGGTGGTTGTATGGGGGACCTGAGGCCCCAAGAAAGGAAAAACGGGTCCACTGGGAGACCTGGTCAAAATGTACTGTAGGGTCCGTAATAACTAGAATAGGGTTTTGGGGCCCATTATACTATAATTATAGCAAGGAAGCCCCAAAACAGTACAGGTAATTCTTAAGGCCGCGATATTAGTTTTGTTTCAGAGGAGTCATAGGCGGAAGCACGTCCCCCAAATGATTCGCAACGAAACAACACTAAAGTCGACTATAGTCCTTCCGAACCCAGATTGTTGTGTCGCGTGGCCTGAGCCCTCAGGGTCTATGCTGTGATAAAGCTTGCAAACAGCTACTGCTTAGGGCTCAGGGTTCAGGGTCTCTCAATTTAGAGGGTCTCAGTCTTGGTGGTTTGTCCCCAAACAGCACGAAGCCACCAAGAAAGCTTATAAACGTAGACGCCCTAATTCACATATGTTGACCTTGTGACTGTGGTGGGAAGTTGATGTCACAGAAAGGCCAACAGCTTGTCTACCAAGCCTGCAAGTATACCGGAAAACCCTCAATGTTAAGGCCCTCCTCGGAATGTCAGAACACTTGTTGCATTGAAGAAGATAACACCACACACCTTAACCCATCACGAATCCTCTCTTATCCTGACTCAAAAGATGTCTGAACCGACACCCGAGATTGTGAACCAAAAGCCCAAAACTGCGAGCTCTCAAACTTGAATCCATGTAGTCTAGAGACCCTGAACCCCAAACCGTGAAGCACCATGAGTCCCTATAACCCCGCATCAAAACAACCCCTCCTAGAACCCAACCCAGTGCCCAAAAACACGTATCCCTGAAGTCCTGCAACGTTCCTAAAGACATTCTAGACGTATCAGCAACTGAATTCACCCTTACCCTCCGAAACCCCTAAACCATAAACCCCCTAACCCTACATCACCCTGAGGTTCCCTAAGGCAACGTGGAGGCGAGACATTAGCTCGTTGTAGATCTCAACCTCGGAGTCTTGCGGGCTGATGTATTCGACGAGAGCAGCCGGTGCTGAATATACTCTGTTGTTACAAAAACATATTTCGACTCATAACTGCAGATTAATGTGATATCCGTCTTGTGAATAAACAGATGTATATCTGTATATATCTATATATACACATGTTTATATGCGTATATGTATGTCGAAGTACTTATATATATATATATATATATATATACATGCATTTGTATGCTTTGATGTGTGTGTATATATGTGTGTACATGTATGTATTTTCACTTTCATATGTACAGCATGTACGTTCATGCAAAGTTCGGGAATCCCTGCAGAATACGGAACAAACACAAAACATGAGCAGGCCACCTGGATTTGATTTGATACTGCTGATGGACAAAATCCTGCATTACGCTTTATAAGGAGTATACCATAGTTCCCATAGTTTAGGGTCCTTAGGGTCATGCAGGATTTTGTCCATCAGCAGTATTTTTGGCGTGAAATATCAACTGCTGCATCTTTAATTACTCGAGCTTCTATAGCATGTACAGGTACAGGGCAGCATTTAAGTGAAGGGCTTTTGGGCTTTAAGGTTTAAGTCGTAGAGCGCTTATCTACCAGATGTTAAAAAGTTCAGTGCGCATACGGCTTGGGGTTTACCAGCTCACAGGCTTTGCCATAGAAGAGCATATGAAGGTTCATGAGGGCTTATGCCACTGGGCTGTTACAGCTCATAGGTTCTAGAATATGCAGGTGGGCTTTAGGGCTTCTGGCATTAGGGCCTTAACAGGGTCTCTGGATGGAGGGTTCGATCATACACTAGTCTGCATACTAAACAACTCCTCTTGCTTTAGAAGGGGGGACGGGTTCAGCGTTGAGGGCTGTTTTTGTCCAGGGTTTAGGGTTCTAGGCTCCCGACCTGATACTATGAACCCTAAACCATAAACCGGAAACCCTAAACCTTAAACCCCAAACACTAAACCCGAAACCCCTAAACCCTGAACCCGAAAGGGAAAATCCAAACCTGAAAGAATGGAATTTCAGGATCCAGGGTTCAGGTCCTCAGCACTCCATCTACAGTAGAAGCCAGAAAGTTGGAACATCATTATCCTCATTCCCTTAAGGTAAAGTAGAGGGAATCCTAGCACTAATCGTCCTAAACTCATGTTCCAACTTTCTGGGGGGTTCACTATAGAGGCTCATACCCTAGCCCTTGTTTCGGAGAAACCTTGGACCTTTATCAGGGCTCCTTATATGAATCCTACTATTTTGGGGTTACAGGCCGACGGTGTATCAGGTTCCTACACTACCCAAACAAAGGTGTAGGGTATGACCCCTTTGGGGAATCCTGCGAAGCCCTTTGGAGTAAGAAGCCGATTCACCCGACGAAACCATGCTACTTGGAGGTTCATGGGTAGTTATAACCCCAAGGGTCCAAGTACCGAATTATCATAGACTCTCTAGTAACCTACAACTACTATCTGAGAACCGAGTACCTAATTATTGGGTCCTTCGGACCCTTAGGGTAAGAGGGGTTATATGTCCCCTATTAATTATGGTTGTTATAACTGTAGTTCTCCTACTTACAACCCTACGTCTAACTAGCCACGAACCTCCAAGTAGACACTACCATAACCCCAAATAACTTATCACTCTTTAAGGACTTGTATAAAGAACTCATATTGAGGCAGCGTAAAAAGGTAGTTTTTTTGGGATGGCGGTAAACCCTATAAAGCCACCGAGATGCTTCTGGGACTAGTCTAGGTTCGGTATCGGGAAGAAGCGTCCAGAGTACCAAGTACATTATGAAGGGCTTGATAAGAGCTGTTGGAAGGAATACAAATGGTTTGTTATAGTCCAAAGCAACTGCTAATTCGGTATTGGGTGCAGGATCGTAGTAAAGTCGTGTTCTTTCAGGATCAGGGAGGTTATACGTACTTCCCCAACAAGCCGGGGGAATAAAAGGTTAAACTTTCTGACGCCTACTAAACTACAAGAGGCCGAAAAGTTTAATGGTTGGGTACGCGGATCTAACTATAAGGTGCTTGGGACCTGGAGGCCTTACGGGAAGACGTGCTTGAAGTTCCACAGCTGTGGCTTCAGTGCGTGGCGCTTGGGAGGCAGATAAATTTTATCGTACTTGACGGATCACTCGACGGAGTAACTAAGGTTATGATAGGCGTAACTGTTCCCGCTACTTATCACGCAAGTAATGTACCTGAAACCTTGCCCATAGGCCCCAGAGTAGTTCCTCCTTGGGGTTACTTTATAAAATTCAAAATATGAACCCCAAAAAAGAACTGCCATGGGGCCTATGGGTACTTACTAAGTGTCATGATCCTCCCAGTAGAGGCTTACTTGTCCAGTACCATGGGCAACTAAAGGTTAACCTTTTTGGTTATATATGGACTATACTACACCCTAAACCCTGTCCTCAAAGAAGGCTAAAGGTTCCTTACTCTACTACTAGGGCCTAAACCCTAAACCCTAAACCCCAAGACCCTAAGCCTTACTCTACTACTAGGGAGGGCATCCGATCACAAGTGCAGCATCTCAGCTTCGGAGCCTTCGCTTCAGGGTTTCAGGCTCGGGGATATCTTCTTCACGCCATGTTTAGGGGCTCCTTAATGGGGACCCTTATATAGGGTTCCTTAAAGGGATCTATAAGGATTCTATAAAGGGTTTAGGGTTTAGGGGTGTATCAAAGGCGAAAAGGAGGGACCCTTAACGGCGATCCCTACCCTAGAATGGGCTATATAATGGGTATATAATAGCTATATTAAGGGTATATACCTAGGGGTCCTTATTAAGCCTTTGATTTTGGGGTACACCCTACTTGGAAGATCATGGGACTTACTAAGTGTGGTTAAAAGTACCCTAATTGGGGTTATAAGCAGTTATACGTATAGTTACCCTAATAACAACCTTAGCTACTAAGTCCCAGGATCCTTGAAGTAAACCCTAAACCGTACAGACTTATCTTAAGTGATTGTTCTTTGTGAAGGTTTAGGCTTCAGGGTTCTGCCTCTCCGGGTCTTGGCATAATTACGCTTGAGGCTTTAAGCTTTCGGGCGGACTTTTCGAAGCTTTCAGTTTGAGAGTCTGCGCTTGGGGCTTCAGGACCCTTGAACCCCTGAACCCCTGTACCCAAACCCTCCCTAAAGCCTAAACCCCAAACCCTAAACCCCTGAACCTTAACCTGAAAGCAAGCCGAGACAGCTGCATAGGAGAGCTTAATGGTGATGTTGTTCTCAGGCCTCGCAGCTGCCTGTGAGAAGCAAAGGCTTGGGGTTTTGTGTTAAGGGTTTAGGGTTCGGCTCTACCTTAACCCCAAATCACTGTTCTTTATTATGATTTCCGTATATATTGGGGGCTGAGGTAAGTAAGGGCTAGCGGCTAGGGCTTGGGATGGGGTTTAGGGCTTCAGGCTCAGGCCCTGGGTTTAAGGGGTTTGGGCGGCTGGGATTCGGGGGTTTTAGAGTTCGCGAGTTTAGGGCTCAGGGGTTTGTAAGTTTAGGCTGTAAGACGTCTATTTGTGACGGGTGAAGCAGCCAGGGTTGGGCTATCTTCTGCTTCATGAGGTTTGCTGCGCGCCAAATCCCAAATCCTAAACCCCGATTGAAATCCTGACCCCTAAACCCGCAGACCCCGTTGTTTTTGTTGCTACTAGTTTGAACGTGCTGTAGGCCAAGTCTATGACGCTGATAGTCTCCACCCCTTCACGTGCAAAGTTTCGCAAAACTCCGGGCTCATGAAAGGCAAACGAAGCGAATATGCAAATGTACTCGAACGGTTGAACTGACAGTTAGTCCTGTCGTGTTGAGACATCTCATATCTGCTGGCTTAGCAGCAAAGCCGAAACCGAAAACCTAAGTTGAAGCCGAAACCGCGATCTCGCAGACATGCTAACCCTATATAAGGGTCCGTGCAGCCATATGGTCATATGGTATATACTTCGGCCTTAGTGGGGTCCCCATATGACTACTTTAGGGCCGATGAGTACATGGACCGATTTCCCCTAAACCCTGAACCCTTTTTCGTACCCATCTCAAAACCCTAGGTCACTATCTACCCTCAACGCCCTGAGGCCCTCTGCTTGAAAGCCACACTCCTTAACCCGGAACCTTGGCCGTTCCTCGACAAGCTTAGAGATCTGCACTCGTGGCTCCTTCTTCACACTGAATCTCAAGTGCAATTTTCCTGCCGCGGAGGCTCCAACCCCCAAGCCATAAACCGCCCTAATTCCAAATCCAAAAACCTAAACCCTAAGCGCTGAACCCCCCTGGACCTCCGCATAAATCGCGGAAATGGCCCTTGGCACGATCCCACGGTCGGCGAAGCCCATGTGCCCGCCGGTCATCTGTGCACGGATTGAGGGATATTAGGTTCTGGCATAACGTTTATTTGCAGGGTTGCAAGGTTTAGAAGTTTGGAACTCGCGGCCCAAGAGTTATTAGGTTCTCTTGCAAATCGGGATCAAGATCAGGTCACTTTGAGCCCTGTCGACATACCCTATGAGTTTAGGGGTTGGGGCTACGGGTCTGGATTAGAATGCCGGCCTTAAGTCCGGTCACAGCGAACACCTACATCTACTCTCCATTGTAAGTGTAGTTCCTCCGACGATGGTTAGCCAATTCTGTGAAGTTCTCACAGGGGCATGGTTTGTTGGGACCGCCACGGACCATAAACCCTTGCAGAGGTTTTGCATAAGCACCTACTCGTCCAGTATCCTGGTGAACTAAAGGTGCATGGTTAACCTTTGGGAGCATACTCGGACTATATAGGGATTGTAGTTCCCCAAAACAATTTCAAGGTTACCGACTCTACTACTAGGAGCATACTATGATCTACACACAAGCCCCGTTCTAGGTTGCCTGGCCGAGAACTTTACAAAAGGACCGCAGCCTTCCGGTCAGAGATTGAAGAAACATAGAACTCAATGAGCTCAGAGTTTACCTATAGTCTCCATTGTAGTTCCTTTTTTGGTTTACCAGTTTTATGGTTAGGATCCTATTATAGAGATTTTGGTTAGCAAAAAAAAGGAACCACAATGGAGTTCAGAGTTTAGGGCCTCGGGAAGGAAGTGTCTTCAGCATAAAAGAAAATTGAAACAGGCACTCCTTTGCGTTTTTTAAATGGGGTTTTGTCAAATTTAGTCAAACTTAGGGTCCCTTTTTGGGTCCCCTGAATAATAGGTGGCGTATTATAGTAGGGACCCAAAAGGGGACCATAGTTTTGACAACCACACATATGACTATGTGCTGGGGCGCCAATGCAATGCTTCCTTCGGAGGATGCCTCACGCACGAAACGCATCGCCTCATGCCTATGAGTGCTCTGACCTATATTTACTGACTTCTGCTATGGAGGCCTCAATCAACGTTAATGATATCACCCTCGATATCTATATACAATAGACTATCCGAAAACCATGCTTTTTGGCGAAGTTATCGATCCTTAACTCCCCGAGCCCTGAACCCCGAAACCGAACATAGGGGTTGGAGCCAGTTTGGGGCTTGGGTCTTCGACATATTTATCAATCTTGTTGAGGGTTTAGGGTTTAGGGTTTAGGGTATAGGGTTTAGGGTTTAGGGTTTAGGGTATAGGGTTTAGGGTTTAGGGTTTAGGGTATAGGGTTTAGGGTTTAGGGTTATATTGGACTACTTGAGCCCTAGGCCCTGCGGCGCGCCGTGTGTGTCTTGCCAGCACCCGTCTGGCCATAAGCCATTACGGTGCCGTTGTAGCCGTCCATTACAGATCGGACCACGTCCTGCGCAAAAGGGCTCTGGTTTAGGGTTTATGGTTTAGGGTTTATGGTTTAGGGTTTATGGTTTAGGGTTTTGGGTTTTGGGTTCTGTCGTTCGAAATCGATGCGGGTTCCATGAAGCTTGGGAAGGGGTATGCCGCAGTGGCCCCGACCGTCTGCCAGGCACTTTGGTTTTGACGCTTTACCATAAAAATCGCGACCATGCACATGCCACAAACTCTCAAACCCCAACCAAGAACTTAACGAAGGCCTAAGTAGTGGAAATTCGCATCTTCCGTCAAGCATCTCATGCACGAGTGCATGCACAAACAACAAAATAAGTCGCGCCAAGACCTCGTGACGAGGACATGTTATGCCAACTGAAAAACCTTCAGAACAACTTCCGAATTCCTGACGCCTCCCTAACCCTAAACCCCTGAAGCAATCCGCCCAAACGCTAAAACTCTGAGCCCCACTCCTTTCAAAGGATCTAATCTCAGAGAAGTTACTGTCAGTACTGCCAACAAAACCCTACTAAAACGCTATATGCACCCATCGACCCCCCGTGCAATTACAAAGACCTCATACTGAAACCATCAAAGCGTAAACCCTATAAAACCTCAAAGCGTAACTCCTAAGCCCAAGACTCTCGAACCACAAATCTTATCAACCCTGACCTAAACCATCAACGTAAACATATTTCTGGTGGGGACCCTAATATGATACCCTAGATAGTAGATCTCAAAAGAAGGTATCCTTAATTTTCAAAAACTCCACGTGTTTCTGGGGGCCAGGCGCCAGAGCAGAGGTCGTAGACCTGCTCCTGAGAAGCATTGGCCAACACCTGTGAAGAACCGGCTCGATACTGTAATACGTGTGCCTTGAGAATTAGAAGAGGGTTTTGGGGCCCATTAATAAGGAGCCCCCAAAATAGTATAAGTAATTAATAAGGCCCCTATAGTAGGGTTTGTTAATCAAGGATGCAAAAGTGGCAAAAGCGTCCAAGAAGGGTTTGAGGTTTGGGGTTTCAGGTTTAGGGTTACACTCCATGAGGCTTCCGGATGTTTCGCACTGTTTGTCCTTAAAAGGTTGTATGAAGATTCCACAAGAAACTTTGGGATTGCTTTTGTTGTTTGGGGCATCGAAGTCCCTTCAATCATGGGGTTTGCGCTTTGGTGTTGAAGTTGGAACAAAGATTTAGGATGATTCATGCTGGGAGTCCCTATACCTTACCTTACGGGCATGAGGCTAATGATGTTCCGACGTTATGGCTTCTACCACCACAAGAAACCCTGAACCCTAATTCTGGATCTCGTGCTCGAGAATTTGGAGGGCTTTCGATTCAAGTTTCAGTCGACCGGCTGAAGCTACACTGGGTTCTTAAGAAATTTAAGGTAACTTACCATAATAGGGGTCTACAATAAATAATAGGGCTTAGAAACTTAATTTAAGATACCATACAAGGGCTTTGCAGTAAATAATAGGGCTTCTTTATTATGAAACCCTAAACCCTGAACCCATGAAACCTATTAATAAGACCCCGGTAGAGGGATCAACTTCTCTGCTCAGGGTCTTCCTCATGCACTGCCCAAGCCTTTCAGGCTCGGAGGTGTTCGCGGGTTTAGGGTTTAGGGTTTAAGGGTTTAAGGGTTTAAGGGTTTTAAGGGTTCCAGGGTTTAGGGTTTAGGGTTTAGGGTTTAAGTGTTTAGGGTTTAGGGTAGTACGTTGCCCCTTATCATAAGGGTGTGCTTGTCCCTACTATTCGGTTTTCATAATCATAAGAATCATAAGGGTGCCCTTTTCCCTCATGTTCGGTTCTAGTAATCCTAGGGGTACCCTTTTCCCTACTTTTCGGTTTTAATAACGGGGCCCAAGAACAAAAGGGCAAAAGAGTCCTACTCAGGAACCTATTTAGGGTCTGTAGGATTTGGGACTCAAGGCCCACCGAGCGCCAGAACCCAAACCCAAAGCGCACACACCTGATGCCAGAGGCCGAGCTCGGCGAAGAAGCTGGAGGACACAGACACCAAGGGCTACGGCTCCGGGCTTATAGGGATCATCCTCTGACCTGAGAAGCTTGAACCCAAACCTCAGCTAAACCTTCCACAACCTTCTGCTGTGTAGACTGCATACTGAAATGGTTGAAACTCGGTTTAGTAGGTTAAGGATGGGATCACAAACACTAGCGCAACAAAGCCCAGACCTTAAATCCTAAACCCTGAAATCCCCAACCGCAGGACCCGACCCTAAGCTGAACATGGCCAGAGGTCTTGTCCAGAATGGTCCTTGGGCACAAAAGGATTCCAAATCCGTGGCGGAGACCGCTAGAGCTTCTAAACCAGAAATTCGGAATGCCTTCGAAGCCTAAAAATGCCAAGCTTGACGAAACCCTAAAATCTACACCCCACGCTGACCCGGCAAACTAGCTGCCTTGTCGAGCTTAAAGTGCCAGCTCTCTTGCTGGTTGTTGACCTTTCTTGAGGCGTCGTACAACTGTTTAGGGGTTAAGGGGATTCTGGGGCTTCAGACTCAGGGTATAGCTTGTGCAGCTCAGGGCTTATGGTTTAGCACTTGGGGGCCGAAGGATTTGGATTTAGTGCTTGGGCTTCAGCTTGGGGTGTAGCAGCTAAGCTTCAACAAGCTTCAGGGAGAGAGAGGGAGAGAGAGAGAGAGAGAGAGAGAATGTGCAAACATATACGTATACTACAATAGACACGCACGTACAGCTGCTCATGTATTTTGCATTTCGGGTTTCAGAAACGGCTATGAGTTTGAAGGCCTTTGGATCTTTGGAGTTAGAGGGGCCCCCAAAGGCTTTGAGCTTGGTTTACCCCGCGCGCCGTAAATGGACATGGCCCCACTAGCACTCCGCTAAGCCGTACTAGTGCTCACGAACTTTCAATGCCAACGTCTTGCATCGGTGTGCCCTGGAGCCGTTTACTAGGCTTTAGCAGGGCCTTGCAATCCTCACGAACAGACCAAACTACGAGGGCTTGCCAGTGGTTGCTGCTGCTTGGCAGGCTGTGCTATCCAAACATCCGCTTCTGTTGGCGAAGTCTATTATTTGCCACCTTTCTTTGGTCAGGTAAATCTAAATCGTAACTCAAGCTTAGGATGTAACTAGGAATTCATGCTTCTACATGTTCGTGTCTTTCTTGATACTCGTTCGAAGCCACACCTAGCTCTTCAACGCGGATACAGAGGCCTTCAGTCGACAAGGCCAGAGAAGCTTAGGCTAGATTGAAGCACTGCCCCTGGTATAGGGGCCTTAATGATTCGAATAGAGTTTTGGGGGGTATATTAATTATACGATAGTTATCACAAGGAACCCCCGCAAAAAAAAACGCAGGTAGTTATTTATCCCACCTTAGCGTAAAAGGAGGGACCCTTAATAAGGACCCCTAGGTATATACCCTTAATATAGCTATTTTTTACCGATTGTATAGCCCCACTATAGGGTAGGGGTCCCCATTCAGGGTCCTTCCTTTTCCCCTTTGACTATATCAACCCCTAAACCCTAAACCCCAGCCCTAGGCTCTGCTCCTCAAATGCTCATGCCTGAATTTTTCCCCAAAAAACTCCTACACCCCTTACTACCGCGATAAGCCACGGAAATGAAATGTTGAAGCTTCCGATTCCTACTAAACAACTATAATAACCCAAAAAGTTTAAAGGTTGGGTATTGGGGATCTAAGAAACTCCCACATCCTTAAGCCCAGAACCCTACTTGGAGGATCATGGGACTTAGTAAGTAAGGTTATAAGTACCTTGATTGGGGTTATAAGTAGTTATAAGTATATCCTTTAAGTACTGCCCTTAAACCTTAAACCCCCGAAAGCCCGAGGCCCTAAATCCCAAAAGCCACCCTTAAGCCTGAACCCCTAAACCCTAAACCATAAAACCCCAAACCACCCTAAACCCTAAACAACCCAAAACCCCCTAAACCCTAAACCCCAAACCACCCCAAACCCAAAACCCAAATCCTGAACCTAAGACCCCTCAACCCCAAAACCCCCAAACCAGCCGAAGCCCTGAGCCCTAAACCCCAAAACCTAAACCCTGAACGCCAAACAATCCAGGGCCTCCAAAACCCCTTAATTAAGGAATATCCCTTAAATCATAATAGGATCCCTTATATGATTTAAGGTATATTCCTGAATTAAGGGGTTTTGGAGGCTCTGGGAATCGGGGCCCATGAGGACCGGGCCAGACCGGCTGACTCATCTTTGGGCAGACGCATGTCGATGCTATCTGCGGCCTGCTTAGGGGCTTAGGGTTTAGAGTGGTTTGGGGGTTTTGGGTTTAGGGCTTGGGTTTAGGGTTTAGAGTGGTTTGGGGCTTAAGGTACGGGGGTTGAGAGGTTTTGGGTTTTGGGCTTAGGGTTTAAGGGTTTGGGGTTTTGACTTCATTCTTCGTCAAACTTCATTGTCTTGGAAGAACGAAGACGAAGACAGAAACGGCTGGTGGGGGTGGCTTTTGCTGGGGGTGGCGGTCAGAAGGCGAAGGACATGAGAATGTCAATGATGACGATGCCGCTGTTGCTGCCGTGATGTTGCTGATGGTGGTGGTGGTGCTAATGTTAGGGCCCCAAAAAAGCACATAAGCAAAACTTAGGATAGGGATATCCCATATAAATCCCTTATAATGAAGCCCAATGTATATAGGGATATCCCCCCCTAAAATGCTTATGCTTATGTGCCTTTCGGGTTCCCTAAAATGCTGCTGGTGACGTCCCTCAAGGCTATGGTTCCGATAGCCTTGATGATGGTGGAGATGAAGATGAAGATCATGATGACGACGATGATAATGATGGCGACGTCTATATATGAAGATGCGCTTCCAGTGGGCTCGAAACGATGACGACAAGGACGACCAGGACGAAATGTGCTGCCACTGACTGCGAAGCTAATGACTACCAACCCCGACCACGACCACGCCGACGACGACGATTGATCGGGGATGTGGGGTCGGTTCCTGCACCAGGTGCCGAGGATGGAGCCCTCTTTTCAGTCAGCACCCTTTTTTATACAATCTTCTTCAGTTAGCATGTTGAGGAAAGCCTGGCGTGGAACAGCCTTCGAAAAGAGTGCCTCATGGAACTGAAAGTGCTCGGATGCGAAGCTGGCAGTGGGACCTCATCAGCTTGCAGTTCGGTGGCTTCTGGCTTGATCGATGCGGCTTAATGGTCGCAAGGGTTCCGTCTTCTAGCTCTTTGTCCCGTAGCGGGACATCAGGAGTTCTTCATCCACCCATCCGATCGAACACCATAGCCCTATCCTGTCTACAGAATTTGGGCGACCGAGCTATTGCGCTGGGGAACGTGTGTTGGTGAAGCGGCATATACAAATGTAAGTGTGTATATCTGCATGCGATAGTTGCACAAAGGCATAGCTGCATACATGTGTATATGTATGTATATATGTATATATAACATATACATATACACCCGATATCTATATATCTACAAATCTATCTATCTATCTCTATATCTATATACCTATTATACATGTGTGTATGTAGGCGTATATATATATATATATATATATATATATATATATATGTATATACATGTGTTTGTCTGCATGCTAGGAGTTGTAAACACATTCTATACTCCCTCTCTAACATATATATATATATATACACACACACTGTGTATGTATACAAACATATATATATATATATATATATATAGGGAGAGAGATTGGGTTATAGTACATAGCGTGTGTGTATAAAGATATGTCACATATGTAAGGTGTGTATATATGTATATATTCTGTACATATATATATAAATAAATATAAATAAACAAATATATATATATATATGCAATGATACGACGACACGATTTAGCCCTCACATTTCTGGTTCTCACATTAACTACCTGTGCTGTCCGGTTGTTCAAGGGCACGAAGTCCCAAAGAAAATCTGAGGAACCCCAAACTGAACGAAATCTTGAACACAAATCCGAGCCCTCTGCGTGCTCGCACCACAACGCGCACATTCGTGCGGCCTCGGGACAGCAAAAAACAGGCAGGTCTTCAGGGCGTTCGCGTTTTTCTCGCGCTCAGAAGTTGGTGCCGAAGGCAACGACTTAAAGCTCGAAGACTGTAAGGTCTGGGAGGACTTTTCGAGTTCGGGATTGCAGGTTTGATGTCAAATCAAGATTACCTGCGATGTACGGGCAACATGTGGATAGTTGTCAAAATTAGGGTACCTTTTTGGGTACCCTTAATATTAGGTGCCGTACTATGTTAGGGACCCAAAATGGGACCATAATTTTGACAACCACCCATGTAAAGCCACCTGAACCCGCTTGCCCGGAGGGCCTCTGCATGGCATGGCAATCCAACACAATCCTAGGTGGGGCTTCTAAGGCCTTTGAAAAATATTAGTAAATGAGATCCTCTTAAGCCCAATAAGGGAAAATATAAAATGTCCCAAAGCCCTACCTAGAATCCAACGCGCAGGCTTTACCCGACACTCTAAAGTCTATAAGCCCTCAACCGCTGTAGCCCCAAACCCCTAAGCCCTAAACCCTACAGCCACTCTCGACCGCCTACCCTCCTCAAGCCGAAAAGTATAGAACCCTGTCTAGAACTGTCACCCTACAGAACCCCTCTAGAAGCCTTGTAGAACCCTAAAACTAGACCCAAGAGTAACCTAGGAATAAAAAGGGTGCCCTTTTTGGTTTAAAGGGGCTTATAAGGGAACCTGAACCCTAAAAAAGGGAATAAGGTCCTAGAAAAAAGGTAGCCGCACGCCTCGATCCTCCAAACCCCTTCCCCACGCAAGCAGTGTCTTGAAACCTCCTGCCGAAACAACTGGGAGAGGCGTGGGTGAAGCGAGTTGAATCATAGGGATCCTTAGGGGGTAGGGGGGACTATATTTCCTTAAATATGCCTTCTTAAGTCTTTGTTATGGGTATTAAGGCCCCCTACCCCCCATGATTGAACGGATACTTGCAGAGTTTGGTCTTTGGTTCCGGTTAGGAGGGTTGAGGCCGAACGCCCCCGGCCCCCCCTAGATTCCCCAGAAAGTCCCAAGACGCTACCATTATGGAATTTCTTGGGGGTAGCAGGGTCATAGGTCCCCTAATAAGGGCTATAAGTTATAAGTATAGATACCCCCACCTATAACTAACCCTACATATAACTACCTATGAACCTCCAAGTAGGCGCCAATAGAACATCTTCATCATGGTCCTGAGGGACCTATAATTCCAGAACAGTAGTATATGTGGACCCTCTGGATTTCAAAGCCTGACTAAACCAAAGCCGGTACTCAATCTAAAAGCATACGGTCGAAGCCAGAAAGTTGGAATATCATTATCGTAACCCCTTTAAGGTAAATTATAGGGTATCCTACCATGAAACCATATTCTAACTTTCTGGAGTTCCCTGTACAGTGGGCACGTCCATGGCAAGTGATGCTGCGCAAGTTTCTGCAGCCCGGCAAGGCTGCATGAGCAAACTCGTTCATGTGGCGCTGGCTATTATTGGCTAGGATACCCAGTAACCTAAGAATAAAAAGGCCTCTCTTTTTGGTATTGGGTAACTTTATAAGGAACCTAGGAATAAAAAAAGGGAATAAGGGTACTACTGGGCATCCTAGTTGGTTGACCCTCTGTAATGTGCTCCGGCCGGGAGTGATTCGGGAGATGGTTGATCGGAGGGCGTCATCTTGAATGCTCCCGGACTTCGGCCGAATACTTATTATGGATATCTTCTCCTTTCTGCCACTGGTCTTGATAAGTCTCATATTAGGAGGCCTTGTAAAATCTGTAGAGCTTTTTCTCAGGAGTGTAAGAAGCCTGAGGCTTGGTTTAGGGGTTTAGGGTTTAGGGTTTAGGGGTTTAAGGGTTTAGGGTTTAGGGTCTAGGGGTTTAGGGGTTTAGGGTTTAGGGGTTTGGTTTAGGGGTTTAGGGTTTAGGCTTTAGGAGCCTTTTGCAAGGATCGAGTCGGTCCACACAGCTGTTTGAAGCCTTTTCATCAAAGCTTTCTGCTACTGTACTAATCTCTACTGTAAGTCTAAACTTAAAACCTGAATCCTAAAACATAAAGCGCTGAACTCAAAAGCCTAAATCCGCAATTTAGCAACCAAACCTTCAATAGACCTACAGGCCCTTCCTGTAGCCGAAAAGACCTACCTTTTAAGGAACTGTATATAGAAACCATAATAAGGAACCCTAAAAAGGGAGGTCTTTTCGGCTACAGGTTCATCTGCCCTAAACCGTAAACCCTAAACCCACCCTAAAGTTCTATGAGCCTGGATCCCTAAACTCAAAGGGGAAAAGGAGGGACCCTTAATGGGGACCCCTAATGGGCTATATAATGGGTATATAATAGCTATATCAAGGATATATACCTAGGGGTCCTTATTAAGGGTCCCTCCTTTTACCCTTGGATAAACACTTCCCCCCAAAGAACACATCACAGGGACTCTTAGGGGGGTCGGGGGAGGGCGTTAGGGGACTATACTTCCTGAAATTAGCCGTATTAGGTTCTTTTTTCAGGCATGAAGACACCCGCCCCTCCCCCCTACCCCCCTTAAGGATCCTCATGAACACGCGTGAAAAAAATGCCGGCTCTCTGAACGCCGGGCCCATGGTTCGGTCCCCCGCACGCCTGAGCGGGTCTTGGGTGCTTTTTTGGGGGTGTCAAGGGAGCTTTAGGGCATAGGCCTTAAAGGGTTCACGTCTTTGGGGCATAGGCCTTAAAGGGTTCAGGGCATAGGCCTTAAAGGGTTCACGTCTTTGGATTTGAGGTTTGGGCTTTAGGCCGGTTGAAGGTATAGGTTTGGGGGGTGGGAGGGTGAGGGGTTACGGTCTGGGGCTTAGGTTAATATGGAAGCCTAAGCTGAGTAACCCGACTAGACGTGGCTGTATGCTGTAGACCCACGATAGACTCCCTAAGCCCTAAACCCCACGCCCTAAACTGTAGACTGGGATCCTCATAATCAGGACCTCTCAATACATTACGGTACCCTCGAAACCGGAATTTCGAGACCCGTGATTTTAGGATGTAGGCTTAAGGGCGTTTTGCTAGTTTTTGGGACTTGCAGATCCAGCCGTGAAGTAGAACAAACTCCTCAAATGAACAGCTGCTTGATGTATAGCCCTGAGACATACACCCTACTTGGAGGTTCAGGGGTAGTTATAAGTAGGGTTATAAGTCCCCTTATATGGGTTCTAAGTAAAGTTACTCTAGTTATCACCCTACTTATAACTACTCACGAACCTCCAAGTAAATCGCAAGCCTCAGAACCCAAAACGTTCCAGTGTTTAGGGTTCCAGGTTTAAGACCAAGTTGGAGGATGTAATGTAGGAACCAGATTAAGAAACCTTGGTCCTTGTTTCGGGTTCCTTACATGAATCCTACTATTGTGGGGTTGTAGGCCCAGGGCATCTTAATCAGGTTCCTACATTAGCAATTTTGGCCGTGCGACTCATCATCGTCAGTGTCATCCTAATTGTCCTAATGGATGTCGTCAGCATCACCACGGAAAGGATGCTACCAGAACGGGTAACCATGTTCTTGAAAATGTTGAGACGCCACAAAAAACTACAAACACGTTGACCACAAACAGAAACGATAATAGTACTGCCGAGCATGATACCATGGCATAGGAGAGGATGCAGGCTACAGCGTCAATATAAGATCCTACAGTCTCACACCTACCCTGGACATTCAACTTATAACTGATGCCTAATGTAGGAACCTGATTAAGAAACCCTGGCCCTGTAACCCCAATATATAAGAATCCACGCCCTAATAAGGACCCAAGGTTTCTTAATCAGGGTCCAAAATTAGGGACGTTGCCGCATTATTGCGTCGGGCTTCTGTGGGTTTTATAAGGCCGGGCTCTTTCCCTTAAACCCAAACCCTACACTCTAAACCCTGAACCCTAGACCCTACACCCTAAATAGCTTGCTTTGAACGGTTTGGTCGTTTGACCTGGTTAGCGGCCCCTTGAGTCCAAGCACGATCAAAGCCCAGGTACGCGTTGTTACGTTTACGAGGTTCTCAGCAGCCGTCAATAACAAGGGTCCTTTTCTCCTAGTATTCGGTTTTCGTAAGGGAACCCAACAAGACAAAGGGCAAAATAGGGCACTACTGGGGAACCTAAGACCTAGTTCAAGCTGTGCGACATCCCAAAAGGTTTCTCTTTACGGTACATAGTTCACAATCTCAGCCTACCAAGACGTGAGTTATGGTAGTTCAAGGTAAGCCTAGACCCAAGAGTAACCTAGGAATAAAAAGGGTGCAAACTTTTTGGTTTAACGGGGGCTTATAAGGGAACCTGAACCCTTAAAAAGCGGAATAAGGGCCTACCCTGGGTCCTAGCAGCTATCCGACAAACCAAATCCTGTTGTGGGGGGATCCTGTTGGTTCCTTTACTCCAGGCCCTAAGCCTAAGGGTCCAAAGGACCCAATGATCAGGTACTCGGTTTTAAGGTAGTAGCTATGTAGGTTATTATTTTGGTGAGTATATGATAATTAGGTCCTTGGACCCTTAGGGTAAGCTCCTAAACCTCAGAACTCAAGCGCCTCTTCGAACTATAACCTATAATGCAATAGTCTGTTCAATAACCCCTTGGAATTTTTCTTACAACAGTAGTAATCATACTAACACTAATAAAAACAATATCAGTAAAGTAAAATGAATATCGAAAACGAAAAGAGCACTCAAAAACAGCCCTGAGCAAAAACACAAATATGAAATCTCCAAGCCCTTGCCTGGCCTCGGCGCACTCTCCACGTACGGGAGGGTCTCTGAGCCAACAAGAGCGGATTCGGCTGGGCGTCACATCTCCCAAATCAAGGGTTTCGGGGTTTAGGGTGGGGTTTAGAGTAGGGTCTAGTGCAGGGTTTACGGGAGGGTTCAGGGGTTTAGGGTTTAGGGGTTCGAGTTTTAGGGGTGCAAGAGTTCAGCGGTTTAGGGCTTTGTGGTTTTACACTCAACCCAAAATCTGCTGACTCTCAGACTTCAACCAACCCTTGTGCTCTACACCCCACAGCTCACAGCCTGAATCCTAAACTCGATCGCTTAAACCATCAATGCAACAAAAATACACCCAAGATATACCGTAGAACTGTTCTCGAACCTGTGCATGCTCTATAAAATAAATCGAACACCAAGCCAGAACAATACTCTGCAGCCCTCAACCCTGTCTGAAATTCAGGTTTTGGGTTAAGGGTTTAGGGTAATGCAGGATTTATAACATCAACAATATTTCATGCTGGGGAGGGTTATGCTTCAGCCTTGTCTGGACATGTGAATGACTCCCTGCTGTAGGGCCCCAAAAAAGCCCATAAGCAAACATTTGTATAGGGATGTCCCATATAAACCCCCTTATAAAGAAGCCCAATAAGGTAGGGATATCATCATAAAATGCTTATGCTTGTGTGCTTTTGGGGTTCCTACTTAAAGTATCATGGGACTTAGTAACTAAGGTTATTAGTAGGGGAACTATACATATAACTACTTATAACCCCAATTAAGATACTTATAACCTTACTTACTAAGTCCCATGATCCTCCAAGTAATGCTGGAGCTTCGGAGTTCAACATGCATGACGTCACTATCTCTTCAAAGCCGGCAGCTGAACAGGGCGCCGGGGTTCATTTTTCACGGGTGCAGTGGGGGGTTCAGAGTTTAGGGTTTCGGGACAGAAACTCTGAATATGCGCATGAAGCCGCAATGACCCGTCTCATTTCTCCTTGGATTCGCCTCTAACGGCGCCACGATTGTGGCGCGGTCCTACTAACCTCGATGCCGTGGCATTCAAGGTGGGTCATACTTTGCAGGGCTTGAACCAACCCTACACCGTAAACCCGACTTTGAACTACCATAACCTAACTTTTTCGTAAATTCCTATTGTGAACTCTCATATGGAGCTTATCGGAACCATACCATCAAAAAGTAGGTGTAGGTAGGTTACTATAATGAACTTAGACCGCAAGCAAGTACTGATTTCAGCTGCTTCTTAGAGATTTTTTTGAACCAAAAACAACAACTATTTCTAAGTACCCCTAAGGTCAAGGTATAATCCGGTGTAACCTTACTTAAAGGATCATGGGACTTAGTAACTACTAAGGTTATTTTTAGGCTAACTATACTTATAGCTACTCATAATCCGAAGTAAAGGTACTTATAACCAGACGTACTAAGTCCAATGATCCTCCAAGTACACTCTAAGAGACTCTGAGCTGCTGCGACTCCCGGAACTCAGGTGGGAGGTCGAGGAAATAGAGATCGGCCTCCTCTATGGTGCCTGAGCAAAGAAAACGCTCAAATTCGGCATTTTAGTGATTAAGTCTAGGGTTCAGGGTTTAGGGCAAAAACAGCTCTAAAATTCAGCACTTTGGGGGCTTAGAGTTTTTTTTTTTTGTTGAACTCCTTTTTGGGGCTTAGAGTTTAGGGTCTAGGGTACCCAACAACTGGAGCTCTGGGAGTTTATTCTTGGGTTCCGTCGGTATCGAAGGGGAAGGGGGGGGGCGGGGGTCGAGGGATGAAGTGTGGTCTTTTTTACTTAAGCGGGGGATTCTGGTACAGGTGCTTGGAGGATCATGGGACGTAGTAAGTATGGTTATAAGTACCTTTAATTCGGGTTATAAGTAGCTCTAAGTATAGTTACCCTATTAATTAATAACCTTAGTTACTAAGTCCCATGATCCTTTAAGTGTGAGTGGTTCAAGGTCCAAGCATGGACTCTGTGTGACTCGTAAGGCTGCGCAGTACAAGTGCACCAAGCGCAACGAACCTTGCACCCAAAGCTCTTTACCTGGATCTTGAAGCTCCCGGAGACTTAACCCCAAGGGTCCAAAGGACCCGATAATTAGGTACTCGGTGTTAGGATAGTAGTTAGGTAGGTTAGGATTTTGGAGAGTATATGATTATTCTGTACTTGGACCCTTGGGGTAAACTCCAACTCGAATCCCTAATCTGTGAGCTACAAGGACACATGACACCCTTGTGAGACCCTCAAACGTCCACACAAATCCCCTGGTAGCCCTAAAACCCTCAGTGAATCCTAAATTAGCTCCGAAACTCTTCCTAACCCTCAACCCTCATTAAAGCCTAAAGAAGCTCTGAAACTCTCATTAAACCCCAAAACCCTCATTACACCTTAAGTAGCTCTCAAACTCTCCATTCAAGCCCTTAAGATGGGGCTCCCCTGGTCGGCGCGCGAACTCGCGAAGCTGGAGCCAAAAACGGGAACCCGGCCGAAAAAACGCAAAGACTCAGAGCCCTACCTATAGTCTCCATTGTAGTTCCTTTTTTTGGTTAACCAGTTTTATGGTTAGGACCCTTTAATAGAGATTTTGGTTAACCAAAAAAGGAACTACAATGGAGACTATAGGTAAGCCGTAAAGCCCCCAACCCAAAGGTGTCGGCTTTGGGGTTCTTTTTCTGATTTAGGGTTGAGGGTTTACCTATATAGTCTCCATTGTAAATCCTTCTTGGGGGTTACCTTATAGGATCCTACATATAAAAATTGGTTAAACCAACAAAAGGAACTGCAACGGAGACTATAGGTGGGGTCTGAAAACCCTGAAACAATCAGGCTTTAAGCGAGTAGGGTCTGAAAACCCTGAAAAAAAT